CTCTGGAACATATTTGAAGTGCACAGTGAAAATGTCAAAAAAAATAAGAACTTGGGACAAAGGGAGTGTCAGATTTGACAGTTGTGTTGAATTATATAGCAAATTAATCGAGAAGCTTGGCAACAGCTACGAGGTCAAACGACTTCGATTGAATGGCCTTAAGTTTTATACCTTTAAGGTGTTAAAATGGTTGAATATTTCCAGTATAGACTAGGTAGTGAGTGGAATACATTTCTGAAGAGTGAGCAGCTCCAGTGATCTCAAACTTGTTTGCCCGAACGTTTTGCGGTTTAGAAATTTGGTATAGATAATCGCCAGTAGAGGAGTTTTCTTCTGGACAGGTCGGAAAGAGGAGGAAATGAATTCAAGATTTTTCTTCTTTAAAAATCAATTACCAACAGAGGAAAATAATGAACTGTGAAATCAAAACTGTGATATTGGAAAGTCAGGAGTGTATTATTATTCTGCCAAGTGCGCTAATCTTTTCTAAGCTTCAACAGCTTCTTTTGAAAAGTATGAAGGACTGTGCAATATCATTTTAGTGGTTATTGATATTGAACAGACCAGACTAACGATCACATTTGACCGTAGGAAGTAATTCAAGATTTGTAATCACACTCCTCATGATTATTATTAGGACATGATAACACTTTGTTTTCAAACAAAGCAGAAATTTGAATTTCCTGAAATGTTGTAGATTTTCGGAACATTTCAGGTGTTAAACAATTTAATGTAACATAATTCACAAATTTTAGAACAAGCTAAGGAGTGTTATCCGGTGATAGGAAACAGCAAATTGATCATATAAATTATCAAATGCATTTAGAGTATATATGTCTTGTTGTAAATTTGAACACAAAATTTTTTCATGGACGTTTTAAGAACTCAAAATCGAGTCAGCTTTATCAACTAATTAACTAATACCAAATCTGATTAATACTTTTCACTAATACAAAATCAGGAATAACGTCCATAAAGACAGAACGCTTCAAAAATCAAATACATTCTGCTTTGTCGTCTGCAACTTCTCGAAGATAGTCAAAAAATTTGCATAAAGTCCAGTAGTAATTGCGAAAACTCCAGTTATTATGACGAAAATGTTCCATGAGATTTTTAAACATCTTTGATGAGCGTTAAGTGAAACCTAGAAGCAGAAACAGACGTTCAAAATAAAACGGTGAAAAGCATTTATGAAAAGTATTTATATATATTTATAATCTCTTTTATTGTTCTTTCGAATTTTATATTTCATTATTTTGTTTCAGAAAAACAAAAAATATTACATTTCAACTTTTTGTATCCCGTAGTAAAAATTACGTTGTAATGTTCATGCTTAAGAGATAAAAGAAGGCTTAAAAATAAGAATAATGAAGGAAGTATTTCCTGGAGAAAAAAAAAATATTTGTGAAAAGAATAGAAACCTTCCAGTCATTCCAGAATGTGATCATTTCGAATATTGGTGGATATATAAGTGCACAAAGAGTGCCACTTGTTACTCCGACCAATGGTATCATGATTTCTAGGTGAGGTATACTTATGGACATTAACATTGTAATAGACACCCAGAATATTCTGAAATTAAAATAATTTTGTTTATGCTTAAGAGATAAAAGATAATTTCAGCTCAGTAATTTCTCCTTGATATACCTTAATATACTTATAACAGCATTAAATGGAAAACAGATCTTAGTTGCGAAAATGCTTAGACAAGAAGTGTAAGATAAAAATGAATTTATACTATGCGCTTTGTAAATATATCTTCTGTTATACATAAAAATTCTTTAATGGATCAACCTGAATCCTTTATCGACAATTACTTTCGAAACATTTGGAAAACGATTTGTAAATTTTCGATGAAAACCGTTGAAAAACATATCCAGTATGACATACATGGCAATGGAATGGCCCAGCATCGATTGTAACATTAGAAATACATTAATAGTTGAATATAACCTAAAATAGATTTCATAAGTTAATAGTCTCTTCCTTTTTATGATCACTGAACTGCATAGCTTTCCACATAAATTTTTTAGCAATAAAGACATCAAAGACACAACTAAAAAATAAATAACAATAATCATCACATCTACTACTATCCATGGGATTCTGTCTTTCGACTGGTATTTCTTATAAATTGGAAAGTTGCATTCCAGATACACTACTTTTCCAGGAGAAATGAATTCTAGATGAATAAGACTCCTAACATCAATTCCAGAAACTTTAAGTATAAAAGGCAACTAACCCCTCCTTCGGCACATTCATAGTGATAGTTGGTTGTGTATTTGGTCCAAATGCCGTATAACCATAAAAACCAATCGCAATCATGAATAATGTACAAAAACACATTGTTGTTGGTAATACACCGAAATTATTTAGAAAATCCTCCGGTGTTTCAAGTTTGTTTTCCACTGGTAGGATCTTCAATTAAGAAATAGGAAAAATAAGAGCTAGGAATTAAAAGAAATCAAAAATAATTACCATTGTTTGTCCCTCGAAAGCATACATTGCCATCCCAACAAACATGATGACACCAGTAAAGTCAGTTGCAGCAGGAAGTTCTTCCCAATGATTTGGCTGTCGTAAAGTGAACTGCATAATAACGAAAACACCCAAAAGGAAAAACACAGATGAAACCATCGCAAACACACTGAGCAGACGCATTTCCGTGAACATATTCAGTGCGAGAATGGGTACTGAAGATTTATCAACAGTGAAAAGAATAATAAATATCTTTAACAACCTATCCAATGTATAACATTTTAATATGTCCAAATATACCTATCTGTAAAGTACGAAAATTGATCAGTATATTTATTTGAAAACTTGTGAATTGTAGAACATCCTATAAAAAATGCATTTCCCAACTAAAGCATGGCTAATGGGACAATTCCAACCTTACTCGTACATATTACCTACTAAAGTTTTTTATGTTTATTTTACTCCAATTTCTTGTCACATTTCGCGCAAGTTTTAATAAACATGAATATATTCGGACATCTGAGCTTGGATAAAAATCAAAAAGAAACCTACCAAACGAAATAAGGGCCATTACTTTGGTACCTCCCACAATGCAATCACCCAATAAATGATTCATATTATCCGCTATAAACAATATAGCAACACTGCACATACCTAATTGATAGAACAGTATAGTAATATTTACTATGTACCTATAAGAAAAATAAATTATTAAATATGCGAATGGCATTCAATGCTGTAAATTGAAAAATAAAAATAAATATGAGACAGTTCCGCTTATTCCAGAAAACAACAAGAGAATAATGCCAGTGACGACAAATGAAGTCCAGTATCCTATGACTCAAACTTTGGTAATAATGTTTAATTATGTATGCAAATTGTAAATATTTACTATAATTAACTACCCTTAGAGTTTCATTCGCATTTAGCTACAATAAACTACCAGATAAGCAAACACCATACTGATGAGAAAATTTAGATTAACACTTACAATAAATTCATATTTGTCTTCACCAATCAACATAAATTTTACATTTAAACTGCCACCAGACTTTTCAAAACAAATAAAATTTATTTTGCTTACATAATAATTTTGCTATTATTCCGTAATACTCTTATATCACTGAAATCACAGACTTTCTTTGCAAAATGACCATAATCAAGTGAAATACGTTCTGATTTTTTCGCCAAGTGTTGCGAAGATCTGACAAGAATATGGTTCCCGTACCAATTAAAGCCCGCAATAACGAAATTTAACACCAAGGACATCTAAATTATTACTATATGAAATTTGCATTTATTTAAGAAAGAAATGTCAAAAAAAAATTGACATAAAAAGCATTTATATAATTATCTGTGTATTTTCAAATACTAGTTGAAGTTATTGTCAACTATATACTATGAAACTGGAACTTACCCATAAACCACCAAGTTTCCAAGCATATGGCAACGAAAAGCAACCAGCATTAAACATACTTTTAGAAAGAGTCATTATTGCTCGATGTGGTCTGTAAATGTGTTTAACTTTTAATAAAAAAAGCAACATCTTAAAAGCCATGACAAAAGTTAAGTTTGAATTGAGAATATGCCAATAAAATTGTGAAATTCAGGTTACACTCCAAATTACTACCAAGATAATCAATTAGTCCTATTTTTATGAAAACTCACGAAATGACATCACCCTTGCGTGTTTCTTGTTGCACCAAATGTCTAACATCGTTAATGCTCGTACTATCCTCACTCATTCGACCAATTCGATACTCAACAAGGCTAAATAGCAAACAATTCGACAAATCGTATTCCCTAGTTTATTTCGAAAAATAAGCACTAACAAAACAGCGCCACTGATATAAAAGCATAAAACTCATTATGCTATTTTGTTTCCGTTTCAATCTGTCTAAAAGCGAACTGAAATGGCAGTCACACAAAATCCACGAAACTTCTTAGTGTACATTGCATTGATGTTGACAATTCTTGCAAAACTTATAATAATATATCGAACGCATAAAGACGAGCCTTTTATACCACAAAACAGTCCTACCAAATAGTAAATTCATTTATATATTAGCATTCATTCACATAAAAACACAAAAGCATACACTATGCATAAAAGGATAAAGTATACAAATTCAGAATATTAGATTCGAAAAGAAGGGATGAAGCGTGACGTATACGCTAGAAACACGTTTATATAACTACAAAAATGCAATGTTTCCCTCATGAAATATACTTCCTACTACTGTAGAACGAATAAAAGACTGACTTAAATAGATATACACGAATCAAGGTAATGAAAAGTGAGTGAAATACCACAGATAACAGAATTGAAATAAATTTCAATTGAAACAAACTTCAAGTTAATTTTCTATCACTACAGATTTCATTAGAGAAGAATCTAAAGCAAGGAATGTAATATAATTTTTATAATAATAATAATAATAATAATATATAATAATAATAAATAATTTCAACTGAATAAAATAACAAAAATCAAACATAAACACAATATAATGTGACGTATTCTATTTCTTCAGTGGTTTTCGCTTCCTTACGCTTCTTCTTAATTGAACACTTTCCTCCATCTCATCTTCTTCTTGTTGTTCTGTGAAAAAAATTTCGTCTAACTGCATTTATATGCGTTTTTTAAAATGTTGAACCAGCCTTTAACTCCTATATTTCCGGTTGGCCATGCTATCTTTTTCATAAAACTTCAATTCCATGCTTATCAGAGGTGTCCAACTGTGTGATAGAAAACAGCTCACTGCGCACATGCTTCATATCTCAGTATTGATAGATAATGATGATAAAGAAATGCGAAAGAGATAGAACTCATGCAAGCAACATAATTTACTCACCAGCAATCAAGCCCTCTTCAATGTGTAATTGTTCAGTTACATCCATAGCTTCAGTAAATATGCTTTTCGTCTAAAAAATAGTATATATATATATATATATATAAACTTTCATATCCAAAACAAAAATAAAGAAATAATCTGTGTTGCAAAACAAAATGTGCATTTGAGAATTGCAAAAGATAAGGAAAGAAGAAGGAAACGCATATTTCATACTTGACTGTTTTGATAAGTACCATATTTAGACTGCTGTCGATTAAGAACTGAAATTCTTTGTATAGGGATCTTAATTTCGAACCATTTTGCCCGAAAACCATTTTCTGTGAAAATAACACCCGATTTTCGATGAAAAGAAAGAGTAAATGATACGTACGACTCCGTACAACCTGAGATATCCTGAAATATTTGAAAAAATTGACGCTATGAGAAACTATTGGGATGTAATCTTAAACAAATTTGCTTCAGCATGTAGAAAATAGCGCTAAAATATAATCTTCGGAATATCAAATTGCAATAACAAAAATTGCAAAAACTGCAAACACCTAGAATTAAAAAAACCAAAAAATGGAAAAACTGATCTAAACCTCATGCAAATAATTTGTATTATCAAAAAGGCAGCTTCTGAAGAGTACTGTTTGTTCTTTGTTGGCCTTACAAATTTTCAGTAGCCCATAAAAACTTCCGTTACCATACCATTCGAAATGCACCAGTCGGCGACTGACTGAAGATACATTTCTGTATTTCTCTGAACAATGGTGATTTTCTAAAAATCAGCAAATTATAACATAAAAGAAAACTAAACATGAACTCTGCTTATCATAATAATTATTAAAAAATAGATTGCAACTGTGACTAACAACAATTTATATTTATCTGAAATAAAAGACGAAGAATTAACGTACTTAATGAATTGAAAGGATTTTCAATTCTCAACAGCTTCGCTGAGGTTGGCGACTTCGGCTAAAAAGTGGATTTTAAGGCTAAAGCTAAAAGCTTTTAATGTCAACCCGCGTACTTCCGATGGAATTTTACTTTATTCCAGCAAGCAACATTACGACACCAAAACGAAATGATAAACTCCGGTATTTTCGCCCTTATAGTTGAATTTATAATCACTAAAATAATTTTTGGTATTACTGATTCAGCATATTTCTACCGCAACGCTATATCTATGTAAATGCTTCCACAATACTGACCATTACATTACTATGTCACTATATGTTGTTGATACCGAATTTCCTGTTACAAATTTCAAAATTCAATTCTCGTCATCAAAAACCAAATCATACCATGACATTATCGATTCCCCTTGTACTTTTCCCACTATTATGTGATTGCTGTTCATCTGAAGATAGCTTAACCTTATCGGCTTGTTCTTGGAAACTATCGCTATCTGAATTTTTTGTTACAATATGTTTGATATCGCCACTAAAACCAGCCACATTTTTTGAACACTGTTTTGAGTAGCACATTTTGTAAAGCATTTTACTCGAAGCTCCATAGATTACATGACGAGAGCCATTAACGCCAATGCAAGATACTGCAAACGGTTCATCCGCTATCGTTAACAACCACTTTTGCTCTGGAAAAGGATTTGACAACATGTTTCCTTCAGATAGGTTTATTATTTCAAGTTATGCCAATCAAATATTTGAACATAAGCTTAAATTATATTCATAAGAAAGTTCATAACATTCACCTTTAGAGAGAACCAAACAAGCAAAAATTAAAGGAAAAAGCAAGTATTTTCAATTTAAAAGAAAAAAAATTGAGAAGCGATCAGAATATCTGCAAATTTATTAAAAACTTTTTCTAAAAATTTTAATTTCTTAGGAATCTCAACAATCACCATCATATGTATAGCATTCAGATGCAGTTTCATGAGGAAGAAATATTGCAAATTTTTCAAAACCTTCTGCATGATTTTGTTCCAAAATTGAATTTGTCTGCTGAAATTCTATGAAGTGAGAATTTCTTTTAGAACTCCACTAAGAAAATTGCAAGTTAAAAATATAAATGATTTGCTAGCTAGTGAAACATATACAGATTTTTCGATACAAAATTATTTTATCCATATTAAAAATTTGTCTCCTAGCAATGGAACTTTCAAATTGAGCAGCTGCACTAACAAATGCTTCAAAATAGTTAGTATATCGATTGATATTCTTTTCTGAAAGACTGCTACTTGAGATTCAAGGTTTTAAATGCTTAATAACACGATCGTTTTTCGTATTCATGTTTAAATTTGATATTACCGCTACGACTGCCGCAGTGAAGTTTTTCAGGAATATATCCTGTATAGTTTGCAAGACGTCAAAGCAACACGTGATACTATCAGCTAATGTTCTCGAAGACTGCTGCTCACACAACATATTCCAAGCATTGCTCCGAACATCCAAACGATACTTAAGAGGTTTATGACAACCAAAATATTGCAGAACCTGAAAAATAAATACAGTAAAAAACGTTAAAGTAAAATGCAGCAAAATTCGAAGATGTAAGGAAACAGACTTTATCAAAAGAATAATTCTGGAAAGCATCGGTCATTTCAAATCTTTCTGTTGCAGTTCCGTTTCTTGAAATAGTTGCTTGCCTGATATACTGAAAAATCGATTTACATGCAATACTACGAAAAAAATAAACTTAAACATTCCAAATATTATATTTAAAATGAAAAATCAAAATTTCAAAATCAATTAAAATACCTGACTAGGTAAACATTTCTTTAATATCGAATTTTAAAGATTTAATGAACATTACAAAGTCCAAAGAATTAGGCAAAATGTTCAGAGCTTAAGTTGATTCGAGCTAATAACAAATTCAGGATAATTCCGCCTTTTGTGTATAATTACTAGTCTTTATACATATAACTCTGAATATATGTTCATAAAATCTTTATATATAAAGTTCGACTTGTCATTTGAGAAAGCTAAAATGCCCAATGAAAGAATTAATAGTAACCCAACGAACATTTTTTCTGGAATGGTAGCATAAGTTCACATATATATTAGTTAACTCAGTCCTTTCGCTTAAAATGGAGAATTGAACCAACGCAAAAGAAATAAAATTTGAAAGAAAAAATTTCTTTTTCGGTTGATAAATTATAAAAATAGACCTTATAGTTAGAGCTCAAAGACAACACAAATACGCAGCAAGGAAAGTAAGCAAGAAAACACAACTGAGATTTTTATTGTGAGATTGAACATTTTTTGAGGAAATAACTATTTATGAACTTTGAAGAGAACATTCTGAAATATCAAATGTAAAAAAATATAATTACTTCAGTAATCAACTGTAAATCGAATTTTAGCTCTGCAGCGGAACGTTTGTTCTTTGCCGTAAATGGTGGTGTTTGTGATAACCAATTAGTGAAACTAACCAAATCCTTCCTGAAACAATGGCTGTTAATGTTATTAGTCCCCTTTTTCGTAAAGATTCCACAAACCATTGCTTCTACACGATCATCAGTGCTTCAAAATTTTGTCATCTCGCAAGTTATTCTCTTGAAGAAAACTAAAATTATAAAATCTGCGTTGATTTCAAGAAACCTAAAACTGCTTTAATTCCTGATTTTAACTGAAAGTTGAGAACTGGACCTATTGCGCGTAGCTACTAAATGCATTTCGTTAATTTTATTTATGATGTCTTCCGCTAGATTCTGGAAACTCTTAAGTTCTTTTAACGAAGATTCTTCATCACTTTTTTCAGCATACTTGCCGTAAGGATATACGTCGACATCGAATAAACGTTCAGGTAAAAGCTTTTCACTGAAATTACAACGATCTAAACTTCGATCTGAAATCCAACATGTAGGAGCAAAACTCGATCTTGATAAATTATCCATAAACGAATGTTTATGACACAACTCAAATTAAGTAAAAAATATCTTTGAGCATTAAATAAAAGCCAAATATGGAAAAGGATTTTACATAAAATGATTTATCGACTTGACTTAATGTTTTCCGAATCACTTACGTTTTAGAACTACGTAACGCACATCGCATCTCAATAAACAATTGTTTCATGTTATGCTGCAATGCTTCTGCACCAGGAAGGAGTTCTCTACCGACGCTTTCAATTATATCACTGAAACTTCAGGACTAAATTATTTACATGTTCCTAAAATGATCCCGGTCATACTCAGTAAATAATTTCATCCATGTCGTAGTCACTAAAGGACTTCCTCCACTTCTCATAAAATAATCAAGCAAAGATGCAATTTGTTTTATAGAAAGAAATTGAAACGACCATCCCTGTAGAGAACAATAAGAATTCAAGTACAAATGAAATCAAAATTAAGTGGATACTGACCCGAAACCTTTGTGTGCCCAATCAGTCATTTTTTTCCAATCCGCTGGTTTTAGCACGTTGCGATAAAAATTCACCAGTTCTGGACTCGCTTGCCCCGTCAATATCATGTTGATAAAACACTCTCCAAGATTACAATTTGAGACACTTTCTTCACCAAACAAATTGAATTTTTCATTAAATTCCTAAAAAATGATGCTTCTTAGAAACTGAAAAGTTCTTAAAGTTTTTTTTTCTTCTCATCAAATCATAAAACTGAAAATTCAACCCATACACAACCTGTGCTAAATTGTTGTATCTTACAAAACGTGGTCCCATATTCCTTTCAGGATAATTTGTTGCAAAACGCAGTCGTTATATTCATAGCTTTTCTTATGAAATTTTGCTAAATTATACTTATTCGAAATACTAAACCAAAACAATACATGATAAAACAAAAACTCGACCAATACCTTTGATTGATCTTCCCAATCAACAATTGCTCGAGCAAATGTTTCAGAAACAAAGCACACATAAAACACTAGTTTCAGCCACCTGGAAAGTTGGAAGTATTAAAAAAAAAAGCACCAAAAAGTTCAAAGATAGTAATTTGTCATTTAAAAAATTTTCCAGCAATACTGCGAAAGAAAATGCTTCATCACACTACTGCGGTAATAAATTTATGAAAGTAAATATGAATAAAGCATGGGATAACCATAACATTCATCTAAATATCTAGAAAAGGCTAAAGTTGAGTAACCTGCGTGCAATAGTCCATATTAGACCGTTTTTCAGATAACCTAAACTGTCGATGTCAAAACCAATAACCTGAGTATTCATTCCTGGATTGTTCTCTAAAAAATGCTTTGTGAGAAATGTACGAAGAAGTGCACTTTGATTTTCACTGTGAAACATTCAATAGTACAAAAATTTGTTTCTATTCAGAACTCGAGTATTTTATGAAAATTCATGGAACGGTTCTATTTTTCACGCATTTTTAACTGTATCTGATTAGGAAAATTATCCTGTAAGTAAATCTCATATCAAATCTTTTCACCTGAGTTGAGTTGACCCATACTGGAATATACTACCATCAATTGACCTCGCTTGGATGAATAAAACATATCACCCACTGTTACTGAATAAGGATCACAGTTGCCTAAAGAATACATATGGAAAAATTAATATTGCTTTATAATTTTGAACATATCTCTATGAGAACTGGTATAAAATGCAGAATAAAGAACCTATCTATCGGAGCGGAATGTATCGCTTCTTCAAAGTACCACTCACATTAACAACAACTGGAAGGAAAACGAACCAAAAAAATGTAGCGATGGCTCGATCGAAGCAATAGGAAGAACACCTGCTGCCAAAACAATCACAGTATTGTCTATATTAAGCGCGAACAATAACGTTCCAAGAACACTGAGATTGCTGCTGTCACAGAATGCCTTCATTGCTCTTAATTGATTCAGTTCTTCTGGTTTGTCATTTAAACTTTCACTTTCTGATAAATCACCAAGCTGGAAATAACTTTCGTCAGCAGCATATACAAATGATTTTGAAGAAGAATGCCTTCAAAAATATTCATTCATTCAATGAACCCTCATCATAAATCTTCCTTTTTGATCTACTTTCATCACTTTTTTATTCATTCTTTTCTCTATGAAAAGTTATAAATTTGAAATTGAAGACTTAGTAATTCGTAAAAGTTAGTTCAAAAATTAAATTGATATATGGTACACTAGAGAATTCAAGACATGAATTATCAAAAAATTATACTCAAACTTTAATTAATACAGAGTTACAAGCTAAAAAAACTCACTGCGCCAGAAAGTGCGTCCTCACTGATTAGGTTTATGTTCAGCTCTTGACTGAATCGCTGCCATCGCATTAGCGTTACACGAGCTTTCATTCTAAATTCAAAGTAAATCAATGAAATTTAAAACGTGAAAAATTGTTTCACTGCTGAAGATGCCATCAAAGCTAAAGATCTTTGGATGACGTTTCTTTTTTTCTTTTTTTTTCAACTGAAACTACTACAACAGCACTGAAGTAGCTAACAAACAATTGAAATCATTTTTTCCACCTGACAGTAAACCTGACGATTCCTTTTTCAGCATCTAGCAGATGAATACAGCCGTCACTAAAAGCTGTTGCAAGAACCTGAAATTAAGATATTAATATTGAATTTAAAAAAGTGATTCAGATTCCGAACTGAATTTCAAATGTGATGTTTACCTTGCCATCAGGACTCCAACACATCGTTTCCAATCGAATTTCACCTTCCGATTTGACTCGGTCTAACAAGAGTGGCCTGACATCATATATGTCTCTCTAGAGTAGTAAAAAAATTAGGGACATAAATTGCCTTTATTTTAATATTTAATCATGAAAATTAAAATCAAACAACAAAGCTAAAAAAATCAAAATTAAGGGATACATATTTTGAGTAATTTTAATAATAATTTTCTCATATCAGGAAAATAAACTATACCTTCCATCCATGCCTCCAATGCAAACGTCGTACGCATACTTCACCTTTTTGAGAAGCTAAAGTTAATAAATCGATATCTGGATTCCATAAAGCTTGATGGACCTGAAATAACGTACTTTTAATTTCTCTCAACATCACTATGGTCAGGTTACTTGAAATTTAGATTATGTTATGATGGCTACAATTAGTTAATTTAACAGTTATATCTTTGCAAGCAGTATAAAAAAAAGGAAAACCTTGAATGAAAAAAAGGACAACCTTGAATGGAGAACGGCGACTTAAAACTGTTTTGCCCATCAAATCACTTGGAATGCAATGGCTTAAAACTGAATCCATGACCTCACTTTTACACTCTTCCCTGCAATATGTGTGCACTTATACCAACAATAACAACAAGCAACATATAAAATGAAAAATACAATGACCTGAAATTAGCATTGTAGATAAAATATACAAAAGTGAACATAATCAACAAACAAAAGATGACCAAAAATGAGCAAGATATTCTTTTTTTCGCCTATTTAAACAGCAAAATTTGCTGTAGATTGATGCTTATGATATCAGTAATGTACTTGAAGTCAATGACACCATTCACCTCCACGACCCGCAACATCAGAACTGTTATTTTCCTGCATTAATTTGAAAACCTCAATCCCAATTGACTATTAAGTCCGTCTCCGAAATTTTTTTTTTTTTTGTTGAAAGTTGGAATTTTTCTTAGATCTAGTTTCCAGGAATAAAATTTTCCGCGAAAGTGGAGGAAAGTAGGAGGAAAGAAAGAGATAAGAAAGTAAAGGAAGGATAAATGCTTTCTGATGATTTAAAAACTTTTGCAGCCGGCAAGTGTCGTATGTGAACTGTACGACATAGTGGAGTGGATAGCAATTATTTCACACCACACATCTGCACTAAGGTGTTTCTTATCTCATACCCTGATACATAAAGCAATAGCAATCAGAACAAAGGAATTAATGATCACTTAATTAGTAATTAAATTCTTTACTCCATTTCAAGAATCACCCTACTTGATCATAGCACAAAAAAGAAGGAAAAAGTTGCAAATTGAACAACAGATCGTGACGAAAATACACATTCGTATAAAAGTCATTTGGACAAAAATAAGAAGGAATAATTAATCACATTTGACCACCACATTTAGCCTTTAGTTTGTGCAACACCATTACCCATTACAGTGGTTATCTATCATTGGCAAACAATACCATAACCACATTGAACAAACAAAGTAATTTAACCCAGTTACATTCCTGACAAATTCAATTTCACAACTTAAACTTCATATAAATCTCATACACCACACTAAAAATTCGTGCTATAAAATGCCAGCGCTGAATATTTCGGGACATCCTGCCAACTTAAATCTTTCACTTTTTTTTTCGCTTTTTTTTACCTAAAAATTTTGACTAAATAATTGCTGAAAGCTAACACATAAAATCGTTCATATGATCTGTTACATAACGCTTTTTCTTAGTAACATAAGATTCAGTCATTCGACTACTTCTAACGACTTCTAAAACAGCATTTACTCTTCTAAATTTGCAATATCATAATGTAATCAGAACTGATCCAAAATTGATTTATTTTTAAATTGAAGAAAACCATAAATCGTTTAACACAGTATGTTCCTCAGCAAATATGTGAATTTTGAATTAATTTATACGATGTGCACCGTACTTTGTCTCTCATCATGATTAAACTTGATGTCAGAGCACTAATTAAAAAGTAAAGATAATAAAACTATGATGAAGAAACTGACTTTAGGACAAATGAAATTTCGGAATTCTGGGATAAAGCATTAGGACACATGTAATGAGCACCTAATGCAATTTAGATTATTGCATTTCAAAAACAAGTAATTTGCTTCACAATTTTAAAGCACCAATCACTACACGGTATCTTAAAAGTCGGAATTTTCATTATTTGATCTTCCACTATTTTAAGATGTGCCAAACTTTTCCTTTTGCATTTCATTGATTTTCCAAAAGTTGCCTGTTTTCATTAATTCGAACTGTTTCTGCAATCTTAATCTTCTTTCTCGCCTTTTTTTTGACTTTGAAACCTCGATCTCTGGTTCGTCACCTGCACCCATTGTTTGTACATCCTAAAAAAATGTAGAATGACTTAATTACAAAACTGATTCGTAATCGGAGAAATACCTGGATATAATCCATATAATTTTTAGTATAGAAAACGATTTTCAAATACTTCAAATAAATTTCACCTGCTCACCACTAAGATCATCGTCTTCCTCTTCTTCTCCCGTACCCGTACTACCAATAAATGGACTATTTTCGGCAGAAATGTGTAATGACGATTGTGACTGTTGTACTTCTGTAGTAGTTGCAAAGTTCATCGATGCTTCGCTAAGTGAATTCAGTGAGGATTGGTGCTGCTGCAACATGATATAAACAAAAAATTCGTCTGATATCCACAGTTTATAACTAAATATTAAAACAGATGTTTTCAAATTTGAAATATAAGAGGTATTAATTAACTGCAAGAGACAACAGAGATACCTCAAATGCTATTGCCATTTGATTAAGAACAGCTTCCATATCAGGTGCACTATTTTCTTCACCAGAACCATTCTCATTTTTCCTCCTCTTTCTGTGTTTAGTTCGTTTTTTCAACATTTTCTGCACTTCAGACTCATCACTTGAAATCATCTCCTCGATATGTTTATGTTTTCTAAAAATATTAACACAGTAGACTATTCAAATTTAATAAAATTGAAAAACTTGTTTCTTAGGTTCCGACGAATTGATACTATCCTTAAATTACTAGACGAACGAGGAATTTTCACTAGTTTCAAATTTATTTCGAATATATTGAAACAAACTTCAGATTTTCTAGCCCTCCAAATATAAATTCTTTGAAGAAGATAAACTAGAAGTTAAAGAACTGCACTTAAGTATAATTCACATGAATATTAAGTATAATTCACAGACAAATATTTACTTTTTCGATCGTCTTTCTTTGGCAGCTCTATGCAATGCCTGTACATAAGATCCGCGTTCAATTGGATAGCCACGAGTCCTTTCAAAAGCTAAAATTTGAATCTGTTAAGATAAAATTTTCAAGATGTAATTTAAAAACTCAGTACACTATATACGTATATATTACCATCAATGGCATCATGTGAAGACCATCCCAAACGATCAATTAAAAATCGACATATCAAATAACCGCTGCGATTAACACCATTTGTACAGTGAACACCGATCATCATATCTGAAATTTTTATTCATATAATATGAAAAATAATTTCAAAGAAAACTATGTTTGCAAAGTAAGCAGCAATTACCTGGTTCGAATAAAAGCATATGAATAATCATATATTCATAAGCAGTAATCTTAAGCAACCTGAATCCAATTTTAGTATGTGAAAATGGTAATGACCAATTTTTCCATTGTTTCCAGTTAATCGTACCAAATGTAAAATTAAAAACGGGCTGCTAAGAATAGTTCAAATTCTTAACTAATTTTAGTTTTTCATTCTTAAGTCAAGTTGTAAAAGTACCATTATCAGCATTCGATTCCAGAAAACTATCCACAGCCATATTGAATGCATCCACCAGATCATCTCTTTCAATAAAACCTCGACCAGGACAATTGATTTTTTCATATAAAATGCACATCCCTTCAATATCACTGCGCTCATAGTAACGATCCGTATCCGTCAAGTCGATGATAAGACCCACTTGAATCCCTTTTTCACCTAACTAGAAAAGCCTTGTTTAGTAAATTCGTCTCTTCTTTTATATTAAAAAATGATTTCAAGATAAGTTAGATTAGTTAAGGTTGTTAAGATTGGATTTATAGATATCATAAACAGATAAATATAATAAGCGAAATTAAATTTTATAGATCAAGCAGAAGGAAAAAAAACTGGACCACAAAAAACACTTATTAATTAAAAGCAGTGAAACTGTTGTCTAAAATGAAACAGAAATTCACAAAAATTACGAGGTAATCGTTGCCAAATTAAATAACACTTTAAAATCCCTAAGATTAACCAAAATGTTTGTCTAATCAACTTACTTTCTGTAAGAGGCTCAAAGTGGTGAACCGCTTTTCCTTCGGTATTTTCGTTGATAACATCATGCTGAGAGGCGTTTTGAAAACCAAAAACCGTGTATTTGATATAGGTAGACCAATTGGTTCGTAGCGTAACCATCTAAAAGAAACTTTCTGGAAAAGTTCTGCAGATACCAAGTAAACTAAATCCTCTGAAAAAAGGCTTTAATAAGTGAGATAATGTAGTAAAGCACATTCATTCAATATCAACATGCACTTATACCATTTCTCTTGCAATTAAAAGGCGTTAACGGAATAAGGAAGAGTAGGAAAAACTATTTTTTCCTCAAACCCATTATTTTACTGTAAAAAATTTTGCCGCTTCGCTTACCGTTCATTTGCGACTAACATATACGTCACCCTTACGAGCAGTCAATATTACGCCCATTCCCCTGTCCTCTTATCCAATCAAGAATTGTGTCTGGATCATCCCCAATCATTTCGTTGGGTTTCTTGTCAAGCGTCAAGGCAGTAGTTCTTTGCAGTTATAATAACGGAAATAAAAAGGATAAAAAATGGATAATATTATTCAAACCTTTAAAGTTGGCAATATGAATTGAGAAAGAAGTTACTACGTTTTGAATAAAAGATTTAACGTTTTTAGTATATATTTTTGGTTAGTTCAATAAAATATCGATAGTATTATGCATTACAATCCCTCAAAAGAGATTTGAACTTTAGAAGTTCCGACAAGCAGCATAATTTAATTACTCTATTGTCACCGACAATATAATACCGAAGATTTATCATAACTTATGCTGAATGGAGTTATATGAAATCGAACTTTTAATGTTTTTTTTGTAGAAACGAAATAATCAGTTTGATTCTACAATCATTACTGTCGCTAATAGACAAGACAGCATGGCATTATCACTACAAACATTAATAGAAACTTGTTAAATTCATTCTCTTCAATAGAATCGATTATTATTTCGTCCTACTGACAAAATTAGATAAGAACGGATCAGTAGTCGTTTTTTGGAAATAGTTAAGAAGAAGCTATAAATCTTGATAGCGAGAGATGTTAGTCTAGTGTGAAAATGACAAGTTTAACAGAAACTATGAATTCAATTTTGAATTGAAATGTGAGACAGAGAGAGGAACAACAATGTTATCAAATAAAAATCTCACTGTTTCGGTACCACTCGACTGGTTCGTCCCATTGTACAGTCAAACAATCTCGATGAACTGAACTCCCTTCACTAATAACTTAAACCCATCCAATCCTTCACAACCACTTCACGTCCTTGTACAGTTTTAACGTCGCTCTAGAGCTGCGACAGTTTACGGTGCGATTGTGCAATACCGCTCGTCTCTCAATTTAGCATCTGAAGGATTAAGAGGGAAGTTGAGTAATCAGCGGAAGTTTATTTAACGATTGAAGATTAATGAGGGTTTTGATATGTTGTACTTGGAAATGTAGACATCGCATTGAAGTTGGATTATCATTGCTGGATCATTAGTAGCGTGACCTTTCAGAGATTAGTAGCGTCACCTTTCTGATTGCATACATTTATTTATTACTTGCTTCACTGTGCAACGTTTTGTATCAGACAGGTTGTCAATTCTGTTTTTGCTAACCTGCAAAATAGCTAGAATCTTCTGAAGAATGCATAGATTTCATGGAAAATCATTAATGATTAAAAATGCATATTTCTGCTAATTTAAAGGACTACAAAAATATGCATTTAAAGCTAGAAATGAATCGCTGAATAACCATACATAATCATTTTATGGACATTGCTCTAGCTGATTCTAGTTGTACAGCTTGTTTATGCAGCATTGGAAGACAGCACATTCCTGCATTACCAAAAGTGCATGGTTTTGCAACTTTAAAAGGACAGTGAAACATTTGCGCATTATTAGTGGATGAAAATGCATATTTGACAACTTCAAAAGATAGTATTAGATAATATCGCATTGTTAGTACAGTTAAGTAACACTTAGTGATCATTAATATACCTTTACAATCAGATTTATGCTGGACATTTTACCAGCTTCGAAACTAGCAGTATTTATGTGTACCAAGATGAATGGAAATTGTATTATGTCGACACTAGGTCATGTAATCAAAAGAGTATTTACTTTTGAATTTTAGATCTGGTTTAGTAGTGTGTACAAAATTTGAAAAAGGAGTGTAAATAGATCATTTTTCTTGTAGCTACCCATCGAGAGGGTCTGCGTTTTTAGTATTTTCAAAACAAAATCGCTTATGGCTGGTACACAGACAACTTCACCTAAGTTGTCTATCTCCAATTCCAAAATACAAGATCGTCTCAGAGACTTTTAAGATGGCATTTACTAACAGATATTATTCAGTCTCACTTGACTCCATCATTTATCATTTGTCAGTCCAACTGGACGAATTTTTTTTTATATTTCAATTATCCTTCCTTAACTACATTTTTCTTGGTATCACCTGCTCACTGCTTAAATTTCAATAGCACTGATTCAAAATATTAAGACATTCCCAGGTTTTGAAATTCAATGGTCAAAAATCATAGTACAGAACTTGTATGTCACATGATAGTTTGTTTTGATTGAAATGTGTAGTTTCCAAGTTCCAAGTTGACATATAAATAGCGCCTCATTAGATACACAAACAACTGATACATATTCACGATTGGGATCACTAAAACTTACAGTTTCATCCTGTTAAAATTAATTTGTTTATCAAATATATGGTGAAGTACTGGATATTTCGGAAAGCCCAATGCTCCAAATGTGATTGTGTTTTCACAAACACAATCTTTTCGTAGAATTTCGGGAAATACCAGAATTCCTTGATATTAATCTCCCATTATAATGAAGATAGTATGATTAAATTTCATAAAGGCATTAAATGATAATACAGCAATTTTAAAATAATAAAATATGCTTACACAATAAAAAATATATTACTTTAATTAAATACCGGTTGGACAAACTTCTTTCCGTTCCTTTTTCTTTCTTCTCTCCATCATCAGTTACTACTTCCTCATTTTTATTAAAATTCTGTTTATCTATAATTGAATTCTGAAGTTTTGTGAAGCAATTCCAAACTTTTTCCTATTTTTTTAATTTTCAAAGGAAAATTCGTGGGAAATTTCAAGTGGAATTTAAAGGGTGGTTTAAATTTAAATGAAAATTTAAAAAAAGATTACCTCTTCTATGCTCTTCAGATTTCTAACTTACTAGTTTTTCAGGTGACTTTTCTTTATTTTCATGGTTGGGTCCTTCAACTTCTGGAGGCTGCTTCTGATTCTTAGATTTTTAATCTTTACCTTTCATCTGTCTATCTTGACTGTCATTTTTTGCCGACAGTACTTCCTTTCGAGAATGTTTCTCTTTGCCAGAATGTGGATGACGTTTCTCGGATTCATTAGAGTTCGGATCACTCTTGCCATCGAGTTTCTTCATTTTGCTTGATTCTCTTTCATCTGATTTCCTGTTCTTTTCAAGTTCTTTTACTTTCTAAATTCAATAAAGTTATTTTTTTTCCTTTTAATTTCCTGTTCTTTGACTCTACACTAAATTGAATTGAAAATTTCATCAGCTGTGCTTTTATACATACGTGTGAATGTGAAGGCATTTCAATGTCCGTTTCACCGTCCCTATTGAATACACTAATTTTTGAATTTTCTCTCAGAGATGGCTGTGTCGGTTCAACAGCTAGCTCTGAAATGTAATTCTAAAATTTTCACATCAAACTAGTGAGTAACGGATTACATTCAGATCAATCTTTGGTAATCTGGCAGGGCAAACGATAGCAACAGTATAATTGAACCACATGGGGTCATTGCGTTTTAGTTCATGTAAAGTTCATCTACCAGTGCAATGTTTATTGTGAATTGAACCTTTTCTCTTGGAACAAACGATGACTGCCCAAATGGAAATAGCAGAAATGATGAGATATGATGGTGCTATTAACGCTTCATTCAGTGTAGAATACATTTATATCTAAACAATAAGCTATATTTGAAAAGTATTCATTTAATATTTCGAAATCTTTGTGCGAACAATTCTCATTTCTGTTTTTATCCTTAAAAAAATTTTTCAAGTTATCAATAGAAAAATATATCAGTCTTATGTTAGCTTATATACTTTCAGGTTATTATTTCTTACATTACTCATCCATTAACATTCATAACTGATTAAGTAAAACCGATGAAATTAGTATTGCTATTTTTCCTATAACTTTTCTAAGCTTTTGGGGAGTAAAACTTTAAAGGATTTTGGCTATTGTATTATGTTAGTAAGATAGTTTTCATGTTAATACTTTGTTAACACTAATTTCAGTAAGTGGAACCGAATTATAAGACAAGCGTAGTCTTTGCAAGACACCGCTCACAACTAGACATAAAAATGAAATAGATAAGACTTGGAAGCTTACATTTATGTAATGACCTGAATACTATAAGAACGCTCGGAGTGCTTTCATGCATTACAATATATTAATTTGTGTTATTGCATTTAAAATATCTTAAAATTTCTATTCAAACGATACTTTTTTAAAAAATTTCTTGAAGTTATTAACACGACGATTCATCACCGACTTATATTTACATTGAGCTTTTTATTACTTACTAAAATGTTCATTCTTCTTCAGTTTACAATTTTATTCTTAATTTCGTTAGCACTTAACAATCCTTCAACTCAAGTGATATGACTGCATCTGACTTTATCGATTATTTTAGAAGATGAAATTTAAAGTTCAGTGAGCGATCAACCAGTAAATATTAAGGATATGATATTATTTGTACTCTGAAATTGTGTTATTCGCTGTTGGGAAACAGACTCGAGCCAATAATGCGATACTAACAATTTTGCAAGCATATAGCAAATAAACATCCCAGTTAAAGTGCTTGGATCTTACTATAGCTTCTCAGTTATTTATGATTGCTGACTGGCCCCTCTTTATCACCACCAGACTAGCCTTTTTAGCAATATTTACAAACTTTTAGGCATATGAATTTTTTCGAATATTGGCGCTCTTTGGTAGCGGAAAGTGGCTCTCACCATTCTCTCAAATTCTCTCAAAAAAAATTGTGCATAGATTTCGTGTGTTGAAATTGAATGTTGCATTTTTAGATCTGCCTTTCTTTCTTCCTTTTCATTTCGTATTTCTTGTTTATCTTGATTTCATTTGTTAGAATATCATGAAGTCATGGATTTTTGAAAGGTCTTTTCCGACGCTGAAAGCTAAAAAATAATGTCAGATGTGAAAGTCTTGATATATGGAACTAAATATCGCAATTCTCAAAAAGAACTTTTCATAATTTTTAAAACTAAAAGCTATTTTGAAGTCAATTTATCCCGCTTAGGTTACTCTGTTTTTTGTTTGCTGCTGTTCAAAACTTACATGATTTCTAATATAATTTTGCTTTGACGATGCATTCGGTTAACTTCTTATTATGAATTGGTGAAAAATTATGCTATGTCAAATAAAAAAGACTTTGTTGTCATACAAGCTATTAAGTTTTTTCATACAAATTACTAATTAAAATTTTTCTAGAAATAAAATAATAAGAACTCGACAGAACCATCATTCAGAATACTTTTAAAATGACTTAAAATTGCATCACAGCTCTTTCTAGTACATAACACGAAATTTAATTAATAATTTTAACACTTATGCGGTGTGGGTCGATGAATGAATAATAATACAAGACTTTCTTTAAAGCTAAATGAAACGAAGGCTGAGAATTGGGAAGTTTATCAGCATCGAAATCAAGGTCAATTACATCATTAAGTTGATACTCATTGAGGACAATATTCTGCTTTTTTTAGAAGTTGTTTATATTTTGTTCACTTTCCAGACGTGACTTCTCCTCATATTTCTTTATCATTTCTGCGACTGATTCCAATAATTTGTATTCTCCAATCATCTCCTTTCCTATCATCTTTTTATCACAAATTTTGTGTTTCATAGGATTCTGAAGGCTTTCATCATAACAGTGATGTAGACGACTGTGTCTACTATTCCAGCTCTTTTCTTTCTGCAAAATTAATTTCTCATCAGTATTGGATTCAAGTCTATCTGGTACTTTCTCATTACCCGTAACCATCTCAAAAATATAGTTTGACTTCATCATTTTGTGATTCACATTCAAGACTGGATTTAGATTTCCACGTGATTGCGTTGAAGTAAGAGTATTCGTTATCTGAGTTCTTGTAGTACCGATTTCTGCTACTGCCGTTTGTTCTTCCATTTTATCGTTATTCACTGCAAGTGAATGGAAATCTTTGTTAGTTAGTCTTTTTAGCCTTTTCTTCATATTATATTTTGCATGAAAGCATTTTGCACATTATCTAAAAATGTTATGGATGGGATTTTGTTCACTTTAGGATAGCAAATACGCAAAATGCACTACCACCATGATTTCCAGAAGTTTAAGCTTCAACTTTGATTAAAAAAATATGTTTGTTTTTAATAATTCTAGTAATAAAGTCACCACTAATATTGGCAATATAAGTGACCACAGTGGGTGATATTTCGGTCATTTTTTGCGAACTGTCTGTGATTCCGTTCATTTCCTAAGAATAACTGCACAGTTACTAAAATATAAAAAATAAATTACTATGAAATTTAAGTTATAATTTAATGGATTTTTAATCCATTCGTGAATCTCGAAAAAAATTCTCAATGGCAAATCTGATTCAGGAGCTTGTCTAATTCAATTATTTCATTCTTAATGGCAAAAAAAAAAAAAAAAAAAAACGAAATAATTGATAATAATAATAATAATAAATAATAATAATAATAATAATAATAATAATAATAATAATAATAATGAAAATAATATGATCTGTAAACAATATTGCATTAAATTAAATGTTGATTAATGATAATTTGAAACAGCAGCGATCAACTAAAAAACCTTCTCTTTTGAAATGTATTTTCTTTGTGCCGAATTGTTCCAATTCATATTTAGTTCTCTGTGACGTTTGAATAATGTGGATGTTTTAGCTGTATTGTTGCAGACAAACTGCTCATGTTGGGAATTGTTTGATAACCATTTGTTCTTCAATACTAAATTTACTTTACAATTAGATTTAAAACGTTTCAGCATCCATTTACCAAACCTTTTCTATTCTCAGCGTTTTGCTTTCTGGAGCAATTTAGAATATTTGAAATTGTAATACTCATTATGCCACCAATAACTGCCATAACTACTAAGAATCCATTTTCAGTAACATCCATTCAACCTGTAACTCATTTCATTGCATAGCTCCAGCAGAAAATTTTCAAAGATACACGAGAAAAATCAAATGAATGAAGGAAAATTTAGGAAAACAGATTATCGGCTGATAAGCTAGCTTGTTTTATATGGCTGAGGTATCAGTGAAAGATTCAAAGTACAGAGCTTAACATTGTTACCGAAAATGCAACTGTAAAAGGCAAAGTAAATAAGCTAAAATGAACTGCAGCGATGAAAAAGTCTCCTTAAATATTTTCTTTAAAAATGCATGACATTTTTGTTTTCCGAAAGGAATTGATTATAAAAGAAATGTTGCAGAGCGTACTGAATCATTTTGATTTATTACAATCGGTACATAAAGTAGCACTTCTCTTATTAAATTTTAAGGCAATGAATACAAGCTCAATCAATTTGCAACAATAGTAAGTTATTTGCGACTAACGTTGATGTCGTGAAATGGCTCAGAATTGGGTTATCGAAATATTAACTGTAAACTGTTTTGATACGTTCATGGCGACTACTGTAGCAGGATCTATCAAATTTCTACAGTTAGTTTAAACTGGTGGCCTGTATAAAAAACAGTGTCAAAGTAATCTTCAACTCATAATCAGTGCATTACTCATTTTTTGAATAGATGAATAAATTCGCTGAAAGACCCATCAGTTCTAATAGCTTAATCAAACTTAACAAAATATGCTATTAATCTTCAGAGCATACGAAAGGAAAATTCACTAACAGTAAATCAAAACAGTATTCGAATCTGAACGAAATGATTGAATCTACATTGAGCAACAACGGCAATAATACGGCGAACAGTGACCGGGATGAAAAAAGCAGAAATAAGCAAAATAATGGAACTATCCGCTGCATGCCGCAAAAAATTTTTCCATTAGCTGATGAGAGAATTGAGGATTTGATTTATCCAAGTATAACCTATCATTACTCAGTGAGCAAAAATGCACGATACGTATACGTGATCGGTGAGGACCCCACGGAACTGCAATCCCAACTTTTCGTATGGGATTTACATCGAGGAACAGCACGACGTTACTCGGTCATTGACTTTCCATCTTCTTTGCAAATGAAACATTTGTATGAGATCGATGCTCTTCAAGGAATATTGGTATGCTGCAGTACTGGATGCTTTTACGTGTATGCAATTCGATTCGACCATTCTCAAGAATCAGTCCGAATTCAACAAACTCTCTTTTACCAACTGAACAACAACTCACATTTCTGGAGCTCTGCAAGAGCCTTTTCCGAAAGAGGCATCATTTTCATGTTCCAACATGATCAGATCCGAAATTTCTACGTGGCCCAGATTAGTCTGGATACACCGGTACGGTCTGTCCTTCTTACTGCACGTATGTCCGGTTTGCGTTTTTGTGGTCAACCCTGGGTTGATGGTAACTATATGTACTTATTTGAGAGTGCCTCAATAACTACCTACACGGAAATAAAATACTTAACCGGCCGTTTAGTTCGGGCCAATCTACATACCGGTGAATTGGACACTGTATGTACAAAGGCAACTGGCAATATCGGGAGCAGTTTACCAGCAATTCGACAACAACAGCAATCACTAATAGGACGAGATACAACATCACAACAAGTGACAAATCCTACTAAGCTTATTAGGCGCGTAAAACACGTGGGACGAGATGGATGGCTATGGATAATAGCGGAATTTGTGGAACTCAACGATACTCCTACTCAAGATACTGCCCGTTGTGAGGTGCTTTACGTAGTTATTGCTTATTGCTCACTTTCGTAAAAACAGTTTTTACGTCAGTTCTCTTCATCATTTGTGTGAGTATTCAATATTTGAAAGGAAACAAATAAGTAATTAAAAAAGATTTTAGTGATATGCGTTCCCAACAGTAATGTTATTTGCTCTTGAAGAAAATTCCAGCTGTTTCAAATCATGCTTACGAATGCCATGAAAGACTTCTTTCTATTTTGAAGGATTGTCCTAAACCTTGAAAGGCTGCTACCTTCAACTTTCAAGGACTTCTTTAAACCTTGAAAGATTTTTCTGAACTTTGTTTCTAGGTTCTCTCTTTTTTTTTTTTTTTCGGAATCTATACTCATTTTTGTTCTAATTTTGAATACGTCTGATTGTCCATTACAACTTTACCAGTGGGAAATCAAAGCTATGCTATTGAAGGATTAGCAGCTTAACTTCAGTAAATGGAAACTGATATAATCACCTGTAGCTTATTACTATTTTCTGTACTATTTCCATTACTACCAGATCCCACAAAAGTAGCTCTTTCTATGATTTGCCAAGAAATATTTATTGTTATCGTATTAGTAGTAATGATTTTCACATCACAAAAATTGTTTATATTTTCTCAAAAATTTTCCATTCGGATTCAATTATTGAGAATTGTTAAAATGAGATACAGAATTAATCGGCCGCCTTAAATAGTCGATTGAATGGTATTGAAGAGTGTTTTGCCGTTTGATATTATGGCTGACTTTTTCTGGCCTCATATTATGAAAAAAGTTAGCAAGTTCAAGAAACTCATTACAGATATGTGTTGTGGAAATGCAAACATTTATGTGGTATCGTTTGGATTGGCTTCCTGGATGTAAATTTGACGAACTAACATTGGACATCACCCGCAACGGCACCGTGGTTATGCTTCGGAAAAAAATGTTACAGATGGCCAATCAAACACAAGTCGATTCTTTCTTATTGTTTTCCAGAAACCCGGAACCACTGCTTAAGCAAAGCTTCCGTGCTTTAATTACTTATTTCCCGACTTGGAGAAGTTTGAATTGGGAACAGTTGCATTTCTTTGGCATACCAACTCATTTACTTATTCCTTGATAATGGTAACTGTGCACTATATGAATATAATAATAGAAATGTTTCTAGTACTTGACTAAGTTACAATTACATCTGCAAACTTCATCTAAGTCATAAGAGATGCTTCACAGGAATCAACATAACTTCTTCCCATAAAATTTCTCTTTTGCTTCCACACACATATACATATTTCCCAAAATTTGGCAGATTGACAACAAATCAAAATCGAATTTAAGATGAAATCAGAACCAAAAGAAGAAAAGAACTATCCTAACTGTGGCCTATTAATTAAGATAAAAATATTTCGTCGTAATAATAAGATAAAGGGAATTCAATCGTTTTTCAAAGAGTAAGATTTCTAAAAGATTTTCGCGATTTCATATCATCGATTCTATCAATTCACTGAAGCTAGCAAATTTAAAATGGCCAAAATAGAAATAGAACTTGGTCTACAAATTTGAATTTGGAATCAACTGTAAAATAAAAAGCATTCATTTTTGTAAAATAAAGTACAATTTCTTCAGTTAATCCAGGAAAAATAAGATACTGTCCAACACAATACTTCAGATTTTACCTGCCAGAATTTTGAGATGACATGGCAACAAATATGTTAACGAGTTCGGAAGCAAGGGCAGCAATAGGGAAACAAAATGAAGCGATTTTTCTTAAATCACCAAAAAATGCAAATATGCATTTTCGAGAAAAGCTTGTCGAGTGGAAAATCCAAATAAAGGATGCGGAAATTTTCGTAAAAGTGTAATAATTTAAAACCTGGATCCAAATTAATTTCTTGATTCAAATTTTAACAGAAAAACAATGAAATCATCTTATAAATAGCAAAATATGATTTCGAATAAAAGTCACAAAATATCTAAACGCGTAATGTTTTTATTGTGGGAGAAGAATAAATTATAATTATACAAAACAGAAGTAAAGCATCAATGACATTTTAACAATATTAACGACTGACAGTAATGATTAAATCAATAATCGCTAGCAATTTAAATGAAAGAAATTTCAAACGATAGTGAAAGAAATGAAAATTTTATAAGTGAACTAAGTATCAATAAACAAGAATTTTATTGACGTATTTAGCAATAATTTCGAAAAGGGACGAAAATACTGGACATTATATATCACAACAATTTACCAAATAATCTCGCTTACTGATACAGATTCTTATAAGATACCGTTAATAAAAAACAAAAAAGATTTAGTAATGATTAAACAAAGAGCATTTAAATTAAGCGTCATGAAATTACGATCAGACTTTCGTTTCAGGCCCATCATCGACATGCGTAAACTGTTTGAATGAGTCACGCAATCGTGAAAGTTGTCGAGCTATGAGCTGTCCATATACTTTACTGTACCAAATATTACTTCGTCCTCTGAAATTAAATCATAAACTGGGATAGAAAAAAATTCACCGTTAAAAATGCTAACATAATTACAAGATAAGCAAACAAATATAAAATAAAGCAAACAGTCAAATGAAACAAATCTTTGTCATACCTTAAATCAGTCCTCGTGATATAGGTGACACGGGAACGACCAGCTATTGGTTCAACGAGAAACTGTGATGATAGCACAGCAATAGAAATGCCACCCAACATTTGCGTTTCACTGGAATGTACTGAACGCTCTACCAGAACACAACCACCACGTAATTCTTTTAAATCCTTATGCCACAACCTTAACAAGTTAGAAAATAAGTTAAAGTTTAACAATGACTTGCAAATTTCCCACTTATTTTCCCATTATCAGATAACAACAAAAATTAGTATCTTCTTTGTAAATTGCAGTTAGTTGTACCTGACCACTGTAGCGTCACGAGTAGGATGTGATGGTGTATCATTGATAACATATTGGAAAACGTCACAATTTTCGGCGTTCAATACTGCCACTGTTCTCCAGTTGATAATTTGAAGATCCCAAACATTCCTGAATTTAAATACTCTATACTACACTGTACTTATACTTCATTAACAAATCCTCTTGTATAAAGTAAAGTACTTACTTCATACCACTTAGAAATTAAATTAAAATCAACAAAATAAAAGTAGAGGTTACCTTTCTCGAACAATCCTAATGAGGATCTCCCTAGGTGGTGCTTCAATGTCAACCCAAACGCGGAAGAAGCGCAATGGATGACCATCCGTCGATTTTTTGGTTGAAATTTCAACACCATCCACTGTGCCCTCAACAATCCAACCTTTCCACCGATCCCGATGTCCCTAAGAATGAATAATGCTTCAGAACTTCGACAATTGATCTTGTATACCACTTCAAAGGAAATCAAAATTAGAAATTTGAGATTTAAGCAAAGTGAACATCAAAAGGCCAACTATTTACCTTTAATAGCTCTCTCGCTTTTTGTAATAAGTATGTTTTATAATTTCCATCTTGGGACAAACCAAGTTCAGTCAGAAATGGTGCATCCGGTTCAGTGCCTTTACAGTACTTGCTACCTTCGTCACGCTCCAATCCAGGACTAGTCGGAACGATAAATACTTTGGTACAGTGCTCAATCATTTGCACGAGACATTCTTGTGCAGCCCGCGACTCCTTAATTTCACGCTCTGTCGGTAATCCTGCTGCTCCAATCGTTTTGTGACGTCTAGAAAGAAGATTAACTGTAAAAATAACATCCTGAAATAACATCAAGAATGAATCAATTACTATCTGTAGACACTAGTCTAAAGCATGAAGATCATAAATGATGTAATATGGAAATGTTAGCAACCTTGTCGGACTGATGTTACTCAAACGTGAACCACATAACTGAAATAATGACGGTGCAAAGCATACAGCCAGATTTTGCGGCGTCATCTGAAACTCAGCAAAATAATTTAAAAACTTTGACATGAAACTTAAATAATGCCTAAACTCTTCCCTCATCCAGACCAAAAGTTTTGAAAAAAAAGGATATAAAGCTATCGAAAACGGAATTTTAAAGTTGCAATAAAGTAATATAAAAATTGAATTAAGAATAAGCATAAAATTGAATGGATAATTAAGAAGATAATGAGAGGTAAAACCTACACTATTAGTTGCAGAATGTTTAGCAATATCATGAAGAAAATAAAGCAGAGTTTGTAGAGCTTCCCGATGTTCATCAGGCAACAACAAAACGGCATGCTGAAGGGCTTCTATACGCATTTCCATCGGAATATCTACAAGTGAGCAATAACTGGATGGTAAATAATTATGAAATTCTACAAAAAAGTATACGAATAATAAAATTTATATTCGAAATGGAATAATATCCAATACGTATGAAAATCCTAGCGAACGTTTCCGAATATTTGGCGGTCATCAGGGGTTCAGGCAATTCACGGAAGTACTGCTTTAAAAGATCAGCTACGTCGTGCACCTCAAATGATACCAGCGTGAATACATATAAAATGAAATGTAAAAATAAAAAAAGTAAAATCTAAATACGATAAAATTATTGCGAATTTCCTCTAAATTGACAAAAAGAATAAAGTCAGAGTTTTCTGACTCGACAGATTGATCGATCATTAAAAGATCTTGCCAACTATTTTATTTTCTCAAAATAATCTTACGCTTTTTGAAACGAATCTTAAAGAGCTGCAACTACCTGGGATGGGTCAAGTTTCCCATCTGAGAAAACTTCTGCTTCTGGTGCCACATCACAAAGCATTCGTAATTCGGTAATTCGTGAACGAACACCGCTTTTCCGGAATATCCCAACAGTATCTGGAGCTACGATACGTAAAAAGTGCATCATTTCCAAGATGAATCGAGGTAATGCAAAACCAGAACGACTTTGGATGATTGCTAACGGTAAACCAAACGTTGAAAGTTCTGCTGAAAATGACAGAACTCTTACTGATGACAATAAAGAAACAGTAAAACGAAATTTTTATTACAAGTTTTTTTAGAATTTCGGGTTTTTTCTACAACAATTATCGCAAACCCAAAAGCTCATATTCCGGAGTCATTACTTAATAACAGTGTGATCACTTCCGGATTCTTCATCCGTTAGAGTAAAGGCTTCATTTATTCATACACTTTATCATTCAACCAAATATTATTGTAAATGGTATTTCTGGCTATACAGAAGTTCCAATACATATGTCAGCAGACTTTCACGCATGTCATCCATAAGTTATTCATTAAACAAAAGTACTGAGCTTACTTCCACTAGATTTACTGCTTCCATTAACAGTGTCATTGTTGCGCATTCGTCTAATAAATTTGTGTACCGCCCAACTTTTGCTCACTCTGCCACTACCATTATTATCAGCTGCAATACCAATTCTAATACCGCTTCCAGCATATGTTTCAATCAACACTGATAGCTTAAGGAATGCCAACTTGCGTATTTGTTGCTGAAAGAAAAAGTTCGGTTATTTAAAAAACAGTTGTACTGATATAGAATTGATATAACATAAAACAGAAAAAACTTAACAAATAAAGAAAGAGTTCGAGGATGAGACTGATTAAAATGAGAAATTCTCAAACAAACAACAAAAGGTATTGAAACGTTTAAGCGTGATGGTTAGTTAGCCAGATATATAAAAAAAAAGTAGGAAGGCATGCAGATAGATGAGCAGTTAAGTGAAAATGATATGATTTTACGGAAATCAAGAAAATCCAACTTCTAACTAACCATTTCACCTACACTCAGAGCATCTACGCAATGTGCCAAATCAGCGTCACCAATAAATGTTTCGCTGTAATCAGTAGAACAAACATCCAACGAACTGGGTGATAAATGTTTAGATTTCATTTCTGGATGATGCAACGTTGTAAACAGCAATGAGTTCCGCAGTCTTTGCGTTGTTGGCCCACTATAGTGGGAAAGTTTTATTACGGGAGATATTAAAATCATTTTGAAAATGCTTAATTCAGAAACTGCGCGATCGTTCATTTATGACCATGCATCATGTGCTTGGCTACACTTGTACATCTTATTTTTGTACATTATGCATAATCCAATTTGACGTTTCAACATTCAGTGCAAAAACTAACATTTAAATCTACTACTTTCTTTGAAGAATAACAAAATAAGGAAACGATAAATGAAATTATCAGCCAACCTGGGTGACCTAGAAAGACTTGAGCCAACACCAGAATCACGTCGTTCACCACTGCCTGACTTCTGTTGCCGTGCAATTAATTCATCGTCATTCCCACTACTTTCTAAACTAGAATGTGACCTTTGCGCTGACATACCTCTACCTGTGTTGAATAATGAAGAACTGCTACCACAACCAAGTCTTTTTCCACCTCGACCATCAACTTCTGCCTAAAATATTGTTAAAACACAAACAATTATAAACGGCTATAAATTTAGCAGAAAGCATTATTGTCTCACTAAAAATCAAAACAGGAAATGAGTGAATAGTAAAAATGAAGAAATTTTATGAGCTATCACAGAAATCATAAAGTCACTATTTATCTTCTAAAAAGTTCCCTGAAAACATGTGTAAAGAAATTACAATCTTAAAACCAAAACAGTAAATCCTATAAATGTTCTAAAATTCATCTGTTCGGAACTAATAATAATAATACTTATTGCAGTTGCAAATCCAGAAATCAGATATTAAATTATCTATTTCTTTCTTTTTAATAGCATAAAACAAAGACTAACTTTTAAGCGACTAGCATGATTAGAGATACTTGTATTGGAGGAGGATGATTCTGGTGATATCGCGCGATGACATGTAGTAACGGATACCGTCGCTCCTGAGGTACCAGCTCCAGCAACACTACCAGTAACTGAATCATTTGATGAGAACGCTTCCAGTTCAAACGAGGTATCATGAATATCTATGATATTATCTTCATCGTTCATAAATAATAGCTAAATTTTTAAACCAAATAAAAGTGCCAAATTAACTGAAACTGAAATCAAATGTATCTAAAAAGCCGAACAATAGTTACTCACTTTAAATAATAAAAATTACCTATTCCTTTTGGGTATGCTTCAGTTTCAATCATTAAGAAAAGTAAAGACCAAGTATTGTATATAATTGAATAAAAAATTAAATTATTGTCAACCATGCTTTCATGGTCGATGAATAATCGAAAGAAAGAGGAGACATTCCAGAAAATGGGACGTGTAGTATTTTAAAATACGAGTGAAACCATGCAAATATATACGGTTGGAAAGATATAAAGTAAATAAGTAAAGTAACAGTGAAGGAAAATGCCAACCATTTGAAGGAATATGTTCATAGTAACCATCGGCATTGACAACTAGTCTAGAACGAGCATATAACTGTGCCGGTGCCAGATCTCGATCACGGTCCAAATTCTGTTTAGGAAGACTCCTCAGTTCATCAGATTTCAGTGAATTATCAGAAAGAACATCACCCGAAAACTGCACACCGTTTCTAAAGCTTGTATTTTAAAAAAAAAAAAAAAACTAAATACACTTAAGGACACATCAGTTCCCCATCATTTCTTTAAAGAATTCAAATTTACATTGTATGTAAAAGATAAGTTAAAATTCTGCGGATCAAAAGGATGGCAAACATTTGCCAAGTTCCATAATTTCCAATTACTGCAGAAATTCTTAAAAACTTGTATAATAATTGATATATCCTTGCTGCACAATATCACACAATATCAGATAGAATGAAATAATGATCAAACGTACTGGGAAAATATCAAAGTTCTCTTGGAGTTTATATAAATCAGGATAAAAACCTTATTAACGAAGAGAAGGTTGTGCTATTGGCACAGCAGTGCTCTGATGATGATGCTCTTTCATAATGAGCTATTCTGGAACGTCTGTCATAACAAGCCGTTGCTTCTAAATTAACTGGTCCACATCTTGGACTAGCATAATCAGTGTTGTCAGAACACAAATCCTGGGCTACTCGATCGTAAATTCGTGTTTTGTGATCGTGCTGTGATAACTCACGTACCAAAGCCCGGTCGAAAGACATATCACGTGCCTTGTTACGACATAACAGTTCCTGACGTTGATGACTGCTGGTAACGGATGATCCGGTAGAATCAAGTACCATACCCATACGTCGATTACTTGCACCTAAAAAACGTGTTCTAAATCGGGAGGATGGTGAGGAAAAACAACTGTACTGTGGAGATCCCGTCTCACAGTCAGATATTATTTGCTGATGCTGCTGTTGTTGTTGTGGTTGCTGTTGTTGTTGTCGCTGTTGTTGTTGTTGTTGCATAGTTGGTTGCAACACGGCAAATGTTACTGCAAACCACGATCATGCATTCCAGTAGTGAGAGTATATTGAACGGAACAATCATTAAAATGAAAAATCGGGGAAAACTATAATGCAAATAATAAATTTCGGTAATGAAATAAAAGTTCTGCCTGCTTATCACAGCACCGTTGATAACAACCGAAAAACTGTTATACATTTATTCAAGCTAAGTATAGTAAACTAATATTAAAGATTTTTACAGGAAAAAAGACGAGAATAAAAAAAAAAGATTTGTTATAAAATAGATGCAATAAATGCAAAACGAATTCTTAATGAATTTCCAGGAGTTCTACTATCAGGTGCCAAGACATTTCTCTTATCTTAATTTTCTTTTCAGTGACAAAAATAATTACTCTCAATAAATTTAGTAATTAATATTGAAAAGTGAAGAAACAACGAAAGTTTTTAGAAGAGTAATATATATATATATGATAATTTTGTTTGGATAACACTGAAGGGAAACGAGAAAAAAAGATCACTAGTAACAGTCAAGCCTCGCCGAAACTTAAATTAGAAAAAACCAAGTTATATCAGAATCATTCCATAACCTCATAGTTCATTATACTAGTGCAAAGCAAAAATAAATTTAAATTCACATGAAATTTGAGGTTAATTCGAAGAAGTACCTCCATCAGATGGATGATGGTCCGCTGCTGTAGCAGCAGTACGGCGACGAAACTGATTCAGCATTTGTGGTGTGACAGCCTGTGATGAGAGGATACTGGATAAGCCATCAGGGAACATACGCATGGTCCGTGGACTGGCCGAGAAGTGCGAGACAAGCACCGGATCACCAATTACTAAATCTCTACCAGCCACATTTGAAACAGCTTTTGATAGTGATGACGATGTCGTGGCTGATGAGAGAGATGAATGCGAAACTCTGCTTGCCATGCGAAATTCTGAATCAGCCACCGAAGAATCACGCTGTCGGCGACGTCTTAAACACGATTATGATAGTTGTAGAGCTGATGAACTAACTCCATTCAAAATCATTACTGTTATTACCATAAGCAGTTACTGTTCCTATTATTTCTTTATTATTATTATTAATTATTATTAATATTATTATATTATGATTCTGAGTACTTACTAACAATGATAATCAGGTCACGATAATGATATGGTTAAAAAACTGATTTATATCGTTCCAAGTTATATCGTAACAAGAATTGTTATATCGTAACAAGAATTTGCAAGCAATATGGGACTTTGTCAAAACCAACAATTTGACAAATGAAATTTCATAAATTCTTTTTGAAACTTTCTTTAAGCAAATCAAAATGTACTATAAGTTTTCCTTATTGGTAATAATTCTGAATAAATTATTGATGAATTTTTAAGATCCAATATATTCCTCCCAAATCCTCTGAGAACTCTTGCAAAGTTATTATTTGGCGGAAATTTTCATTAGAATGAATGTAATAAGAGAACTGGCACAGATGCATGTTTAGAAGAGAGCTTTTTGTCAAACCTATCTGCTTCGTACAATTGTTCATGGTCGGAGAGATTCAAAAATATTGAAATCAAAAAAACACTTCAAGGATTATGCAAAAGGGAAGAAGAAACATCAACCTGGTTTTTTTCTCAATTCAGTAAACTCAGCCCAAAAAATTGCAAACATTTGGAACAAAAATAAGTAATTATCTAAATAACGTAACTGCAAATATATCAAACACTTATTAAATTATTTATATGATTACAATATGGAAACAGAAATACCTGCTGGATGATCGTATATCCATACGTTTTATTAGCGCTCGTGCACGTTCCTTCAGTCTTTCACTTTGAGACCGCTGCAAATTTACTGTCGCCATTGTTGATGATGATGAACTGACTGCGGGGCTAAATGAAAGGATGGAACTATAAATATTAGAGAAGACTGAAGAATCTTCACATTGAGAATGTTCGGAGAAGCAACTGAGGACTCATCCATGTCAGAAGGAAGATATTAGAACAAAAGTTGCATTTGAGAGCAGAAATTTGGGGACTTGAAGACATTATAAAATTGTAAAATTCTTACTTTGTTCAAAATATCTTGCATTAAAACAAATTATATTCTAAAAATTTCTAAATATACCAATTCCGATCATTTCTGGCAATAACTGGATTGGTAGTAACATCGTGCTGATTTTTCCTGTCATAAACAACATCGCTGAAACATGAGGCGCCATCCGGTTGCCTTCTAGGATTCTGTCCATAACCGAATGACATTCGCAATGCCTCGTCAAGCTCAGCACTGGAAACCGCTTCCTCGCAGGACCGCCAAATATTATCACCAGTGTCTATGTATGAATTATTTAATTACATAATACGTTTCACGAATTTCTTTTTTCAATCTGATTGATTTCCTGATTAATTACCCATCAAAAAGCTGATCAAAAAACTGAAAGTAATCCTGAAGCAAAGTGAAAGATTGTGAAAGCAGTTTTTTTATACAATTTAAAGTGAAAATGAACATATATACATATATAATTCTAAAATTTTACATATATAATTCTAAAATTTCCAAATGGATAGACGAAGCTTACCACTGAATGTAACAGCAGTATCATCACCTTGGACAATCCTAGACCAGGTTTGAGAATTACGTTGATATTTCCACTTATTTGAAATAGCTACCTAAAATGACTCATTTCTTCGAAATTGTTTACAGACTTTAAATCCCTAAGAATTATTAATAAGATGATCAGTTGTTTTCCAATTCTAATTATATCTGCCATCATTTGTCAAGTATGAACACACGGATACAAAGGGACAGTAATATTGTCAATGCTTTGAGCGCTCAAAAGTTTCTTAATTTTGATTTCAACTTGATTAGAAAGTTATTTAAAAATGAACTACTTATTATAAAGTAATTACAAACAGATATATGGATAAACACAAAATGGAGAGATTCAGTAGATGGCCATTGAAATTTGGGAGAAAAAACTGAGCCATTGCAATACTGCTAATACTTTGAGGACATATAAGTTTTTTAATTTTGATCCAAACCTGATCATCATCATCATCATCATAATTGATGACTGTCATATCATCATCAATATCTGGTTCCAGCGGATTAATATCAAACCGTTCCGGCTGAAATAAGCACATATAACTAAAAACGTCCCAAATTTTCAACCCTTATTTGCGTGCGAATAATATTTGTAAATCACTAAGTTCTACTTGCAATATAGTTTTCAAAGATTTCAACATACTGCAGATCTACCCTCTATTGAATACTATTTACTTTCTCAATTAATTAATGAACGCCCACTAAATGATGATTAACCGAAAAGTACTATTATTTACAACCTATTTTAATAAACCCAAAAAGCTGGATATAATAATTGACAACAGTACATGTTTCCTAAGTACTACATTCTCGACTTTCATAATAGCACATCGATTGAGCGCATTGAGACGGCGGAATAGAGCTCGTAGTGAATCGTCGTCCAAAAATTCATGATCTCGCTTTACTGAACGAATATCTATTGGAAATCGTTGTTCTATAATTCCAAATTTTTTAATTTTTAGAAAAATTTGATTAGCGAATTTAAAATGCCTATTAATTGCTGCAAATATGCATTTTCCGCAACTTTAATTATAAAATTATGTTAAAACATAGCCGTTCAAAACAGTATACGAATGAACGATATTAAAAATGCCAGCAATTTAACAATGTTCCAAAATTTTAAATCGCCACAATTTTATTTTCCTTGATTTTTTGGAAAATTTATTTATACCTTCATAAAGTCGTGCATATTGAGGAAAGCCAGCATCACGCAACCAGCGAACACATTCAACTGCTTCTTCTTCTGAAAATTACTTCAAATTGAATATAGACAAACAATGTTAACAAACCAGTGTTAATACCCCCAAAACACTCCGGGATTTAGTGGATGAGAAAACTCGTTTATTCAATAGACAAGCAGCGCAACGAAGATTCTTACTTTGTATTCCATAGCAAAAAAAAAAAAAAGGTTAAAATAGTTCTAAAGTGAGAAGCAATTTTATGAACATGATATTCTAAAATTTTAAGTTCGATAAATATCCTTAATAATAATAGTCTCAAAAAAGCGTAGTAAGAGAACGAGAATAACGCTAAGATCAATTTCATAAAATGTTATAATAACATCATATAAGTAGCTTATCAATAATAGATCTAATTGTATGACAGACATACCATGAAATGAAAACTGTTGGAAAAAATAAGAAAAAATTCTGAATCATACCACTATTTTATAAAAAAACTTTACTTTAATAAATGATAAAAATTAGTAATTTTACACCGTGCATGACAAAAAATAGGAAGAAATTATTCTTTGTAACTGACATTAATTTAAAAACACACGCACAAGCAAAATTCACAAATCAAAATCCTAGTAAAAAAGCATTCATCCCTTAGCAGCTTTTTCAAGAATGTTAGTTTTGTCAATGTTGAAGCTGTTTACGTCAATTATCAAAAATATGAGGCTAAATACTTCAAGTAAGTGTATGGGTAGTTTTTAATAAAATTTTAAAATAGGAAGAGAAAATCAGTATATTTTTATAATAAACGACCAAAGTTTCAAATAAAAGTAAATAAATTTAATGGAAATAAAATCTCAAAAATGCAAAATTCTCTAGGTTAGTCATGCAAGAAAAGCAAAGAAGAAATGAGTGTAATATAAATATGAATGAAAATTATTCGTCTTATTCGAGGAATTGTAAAATGATAAAATGAAAAAGGAAAATAGGAACCGGAAAGAGCGGTATCTGAAAGATAAGATAGAAGTAAAAGTGGATCTCTAAAGAGGAAACCAACATGATCTAACTGCGAGTATCACATGACGAAGAAGGAAAACATTTCTTTTAAAGATTTATTGAGACGTATCATACATGCACCACAAATATTCTACTTGTAAAACTTGTTACTGAAAGATGAATCGGAGTTGTCCAAATGATAAAACATCACCATACTATCAAGGAAATACGTGAGGAAAATCGAAAATTATACAAACATTTCAATTATTTAAAAGTTACTTCAAAATGAAACATAAAATATTTTTAAAGCTAAGCAGTCAATTAGTAATCAGCAGCCTAGGATTTGTTATAATAAAGACCTTTTATAAATGTAACTTGAGTAATAATTTATCGTGAATATGAACATGGGTTAAACAAAATATTCATCTTAAGTTCCCGCTGAGGCTGATGCGTCCAGTTATACTCCAAATAATGATCGAAGTGCTCTGTCAGTTTTTATCGAAGTCATAATAAGGTTCCCAACAAATCCCTTGAATAACAAAATTTAAAAACTGAAGAGATAAAGTAGACAAACAAAAGTCTTATGAAAAGTTTACTGTTTAAATGTACTTCACCTCAAATTGGAATTTTTGTTTAAAAAGAAATCAAATTAGATAGGGTGAAATATGAGACGAAAAGTGGAAGAAGGAAGTATTTAACTAAGCATAGCGTATAATACATCCATTCCATATCATCTAGATGATTTATGAAATAACTTTTTATTTCTTTCCCTTGCCGACTGTACGGATCTATAGATTCCATATAAAATTGCACAAGTGGAAAAAAAGTGGAACAAAATTCATCTTATTAAAGTAAACTCATCTAACAAATATCACAACTGAATTTCCTAGCAATACCACAAGTGTTGACCTGAAATTCCTGAAGTTCAGGTTAAGATTGTGACTGCCTAAACTGCTTCTGAAAAGAACTAAATTATGTCTAAATTAATGCCATTGAAGGCGCCACAGCAGCTGTTTTTGAAGAGAGTTTATAACAAACAAATGTGGCTTGATTGAAGTGTTCACTGGAAAAATCAAAATCAACAAGCATTGAGAAATAGTCGAAGAGAAAGAAAGAAAGAGAGAGAGAGAAAGAAAAGGAGTTAATGGTACATCTGTTTCTAATTAAATTTTTATTTAGTGTTCCATTGATGTCCTCTAAAAATTTTGTGACGTAAAAAAATTGGGCAACGAATGCCTCGATGATACAGATGAAATGGTTTACATCAGACATTAGCACGTTCTAAGGAGACAGCTTAATGTTTTAAGTCAAATTATACTTTACGGATCCTTAAATTACAGATGCTATGCATTCCTTCATTTTCCTTTCAGAAAGCTGGTTGGACTGATTTCAAATAAAGCAGGAGCAGGAAAGTGTTACAAATCCACAATTAATTAGTAGGAATTTAGAACATAATCTTAAAACAGGAAAAATGCTAAAGTTTGAAAAGCAGAGAGAAAGAGAACAAAGATCGCCCTAACAATGATACATGAAAAAAAGTTTTGCAGGACAGTTTCATGACAGCGTAGAAATTTCTTCAAAGGAATGTATTACAGAAGATAGATGAACTGCTTCTATCTTCTACCTTCTCTCAATTTGTTAATGAAATTTAGTTTTAATTTTATTTCATCTTTTTTAAACTTCATTTTATCTTTTTTAAATTCTCACAAATATTGACCATGACTTGACCGTAACCCAATAGACAAAACAAAACAAAACTGATAACACAATCGATTCATAAAAAATATAAAGTATCAAAAACCCACCAGAACAAAAAAAACAAACACTAAAAAATATAATAAGACAAAATTCGGTCACTCATACAGAAAGGCGAAATTAATATATGCCGCGCAAACAAGCAATACATTCAACAAGTTTTTTGAAAATTTTAAAAACTCACCGACTTTCTGCTTCTTCAGCGCATATAATTCATCGCTCGTCTGCAAATGAAGCAAAAATATAACATCTAAAGTTCAATTTTATGAAATAAAAGTAATATTGCAAAGATAAACTTTCTGATGATTTCATAAAGTTAACACTCCATACGGTTTTCATTTCAGTAAATTTACGGTATTTAAGGTAAGAGAAATCTCTTAACGGACCTGTTCAGTAAAATCAACATCAAGCTCTTCACAGCTTTCGGCTCGTTTCGGAACACGTCCAGCACTGAAAGCAAACAAATCAGATGCTAGCACCACCGATAAAGTTTTCTTTTCCGTATCCAAACGAGGCGAAGGCGGTGGTGGTGGACGAACTTCCTTTCCATCCATGTCCATTTCAAATGATGAATCTATCTCTATCTATAAAAATATCATTAACTAATTTAATGCAGTAGATACTTAAAGCGTTACAGTTAATAGAATCATAATTAATTACCTGAGCCAACTGAGATCTAGTTTTATTTGGCTGTTGCTTTCTGCACTTACTGCTATGATGAAAGCCGATAGCAGCTGGAGCACCTGGAGTCATCGGGGAACTCTCGCTATCAGCTAAGCCAGAGCTAACACTAATATCGCGCTGAGAAATAGCATTGTCGTCCGGTGATGCTGAATTGTCCGGAATTTTTGGGTCATGAGACAAGATAGTACCATGACTCAATTTTGTCGATATTGGTGCTGAGTTTGCTGCTAAAATTAACTAATTTCAGTGTCCTAACTTTCAGTTCAGGTAAACTTTTGCAGTGCATAGAGAAAAGCAAATAGTTTGTGACTTCTGTTCTTTAAACCTAACTAAATTTATAAGCGATCCAAGTCAGATTAAAAAGAAAGTTTAATAACAAAAAAACTATTAGCGATTACAGTTCAAGAAATCTTGGAGAACCAAATTTTCAAAGCCAGTTGAATACGGAATTTTTATCATCATCTTCTGAATATCCTCTTCGTTCATCAGCTGACTGATTTAATTTCAGAAATTAATTTCTCCAAACCAAAGCACACGTTAGTAAGATCCAAAAATACCAAGCAAATTAACCGGGGAGATAGACATAAGTTTTACTCGTACTCGAGTAAAACAATTTCATTTCCAATTTATGGCAAACTGGAAGAACTCAATTCAACAAACCGTTATTGTTATCTTTTCCAGATAACTGAAGTGAAATATTAGAGGTGGTGATTGCGGTAGCATTGACATTTGCTAATAGTGATGCCTGAAGTGCTGCAGTTTGTTTAATTCCATGAGATACGTTGTCATATATGCTACCGTTCATTGACCCCTGTGAATTACCTTTGCCAACATATGTATGTTGAGTAGCCAAGCTAATGGTACCACTACCACTACCATTATTATTACCCGTGGATGATGAAAAATGTCGGAAGAATTCTGCAATGCAAAAGTCCGTTTTAATTTTATTAATTCTTTTTCTCCATTTTTAATCGAAATAAGATTAAAAACGGAGAAGAAACAATTCATTCAACTATTAGCTTACAAAATAATTTTCTACTCTTTTTTAAAATTTAATATAATAAGAAATTTTTTATACTGAAGAGAAATTGCATTTAAAGAAAATAAAAGACTTTTTCGCAGGAAGCAATTTTTGTAAGAGAATAATTGATTTTACAAAGTATTGAAGAATTCATAACAAATAAATACAATCCTTTTTCTCCCTTTTTAGTTCATCGAAATTGATTGCTAAAGAAATGGAATGAGATTCGTGATTTTTAATTATTTGGATTTTAGCTTGAAAAATAATGATACATTCCATCCATCTCTTATTATCCAGCTTCAAATTCATACTTAAGATATGTAATGAAATTAAATTTAAAAACAAAAAATGACTGATCAATTAGAAATTGTAAAAGAAATTATTAACCTCGAAGATTTTGTAGGAATCGAATCATCACAAAGAAAAAGTAGAAAGCGTTATGTAGGAGGAAAAATGAACCACTAGAATAGGGGTGATAGTGCTGACAAAGCAAGCAAACAACGGCAAGAGACATAACTATATCAGTGTATCATAAGCAATCACATCAGCAGTGCTGCTTCTGATGCTTATGATTACAATACAGAAATATGATTAGTAGTAATCACAGTGAAGGGAAGTGAAGTGGAGACAAATGTGATATTTTAGAATTGTCAACTTGTTATACCGTGGCCTCAGTCAAAAAGTGATAAAAGACAGATTCGATTTTAATTTCAATAAAAATATTTCAAAGATCTATTATGTTTAAAAAAGCAAAAAAAAAAATGAAAAAAATGAAAAAGCAAGATGAAATTTTGACAGAACTCAGTTCGAAGCTGTCTTTGAAACTCTCAGGGCGTGAATCTCGAAATATTTCAGTTTGTTACCGCTTCGGAGGCTACTTAGTGCCTTAATTCGCCTAAATTGAAAATTTTTGAAATCCCCTTACATCAATTTTTATTGAAGTATCAATTCTTATTGTCTGAAAGAGGGAATGCAAAGAATACATCGAATGACCATTAGCTGTCAATAAACAAACGATTCAACACCCACTATAAATCATTCCTATGTCTACCTTTGTCTGAATGCAAATGAATGAATGATGGACTACTTACCGAAAAAAGAATAAGGAATAAAAACAAGTATATGAGGAATGAAACAAAAGATGGGAATTTGTTGTCGCTTTGGTAATTTTTAAGAATTCCAATAAAAATTCTTTTTTTTTTTTTCAAATGTAAAAATCAATCCCAAAAGCTTTTCATTCCGAAATTGGATGGAAATATTTGTTTTATAGCATGGTTTCGTCAGCAAAAAGAAAATTCTGCAAAAAAGAATAAAAAGAGAAATTTTAAGTAATTGTAGTGTCGCAAAGAATAATTTATAAATTTTGTTTCTTTACTATGAATAAATGACTATCAACATATCTGTAACTAGAGATAAAATGAGCCTTGAAAAGACTGCACAATGAAAATAAGCCTTCAAGTCTTAACTAAAATAAAACAAACAATTACAAATGATGCAAACCATTTTGATTATTCGTCGATGGCATCCTATTTCTGGAAATATCGGATGAAATTTCACGTGACAAAACTGAATCATTATTTCGAATATCGTTTGCATGCTGCAACAATAAACGAAAAATCCTACCACACTTGAAATGCATCAAATTTGCTACTATTTATCAATGTCAAAAAAAACCTTTGTAAGATTTTCACTGATAACAGGATAATGCAATACTCGATTTGAAACAATATTCAAATCCTCGGCATATTCCAACAACATTGCTATACTTTCATCAATATCTTCCGATGATCTGCAAGATAAATTATACCTTGTGACTAAATTTCCAAATCAGAGGAATTATCTTAATACTGCACCTGATATTCTCGGCTCTCTAGATTAAAGAATACGATAGATATAAGTAAATGCCTATCATTTTTTCAATTTCTGTGCAACAGGAAACATACTGTGTCTTCTTTTCCTCGAGCAGACTATTACGTGCTTCCATATTTTTGCGCAACATTCCTTGAATTTCTCTGTCAGTGATACGAGAAGGTTCCGTCTGTATGAAAATATTGTCAAGATGAGAATGATAGTTATGCAAACTGTGTGCCCATAGATTTTGTTTACGTCAAAAATTTTATTTATTTACTTATAATATTTCTATATTTTTATTTCATGGAGAATAAAACTATAATCACCTATCTATACAAATTAATTTGCACAGAATAAATAACTGAAGTTGCAAACGGAACTAGCGAAGTAAGTACTTACAATTCGATTCAGTAAAGAATATTCAGGGTCCTCGGGAGTTCCCGGAGACTCTGTTGAAGCAGTGACCAGTTCTTCACTGTATTGATCCTCAATGGATGATTCGTTGATCCAGTCGAAGGAACTAGATCTGGATAATGAATAAGGACTGGTCTGAGTACCAATTTCCTGCAAAAAATTTTTTCCTTTGAAAGTATAAATTCGACACGAATATCGCCACTTATCTACGAATCAACAAATTGTTTTACTGTTTGAAAGTACATAAATTCCCAAATCACTGGAAAGAAAAAGTCAATTCAAATATTTAAGTAACTAGAGGAAACGTTACCTTTTGTTCAATAGAAAGGAAAATGTTTCTTGAAAAGTGGAATTTCAAGTAACAGTTTTCAAGTTTTTACCCTTCAAATAGACAAACTTCTTTTCTTTTTTCTTTTTTTTAAGCTACTATCTTACAGCAATTAATCCTTGAGAGTATTCAAAGGTAACTGAATTAGGAGGAATAACAATTTTCAGTTTCATTTACGAATTTGTGAAGAAAATGTGATGAGTGCAGTTCACAGGCATAGGTTAATACAATTTGCAAAACCTGACATTATTAATAGCAGCGGATAATTCTTGTGTTATTCAATAAAAAAAAACTTAAAATGAAATTGTATGTTACTGGCGTAGATGTAAAGACGTGTGCATGCGCAACTCTATACAACTGCTTATGCACGTGCGTGCACGCAGGTATGGATTTACAATACTGTAGTGACTGTAGTACTTTGTATCAACGACGTGTTCGATATGTAAAAGTTGATCTGCAGATACTGTAAAACTCATGAGACTCAAAATAAAAAAGGACTGCAAAATACAGCTAAGTTCAAAGATAGAACTCAACAATTTATTTTGCAACATTGTTTACGATGTGCAACCACGAAAAGTTGTTTGGCAACGAGAATGAAAGTTTGGCGGTGCACACAATTAGCAAAATGATCCAAAGCATAGAGTTAACTTTTAAATCTGAATTTAAATTAACCAATCAATGTTTTCCTCCAGCATCGCTTGAAGTAATAAAATAGGAAGAAAAATTGTCGCAAACTGATTTATGCGCGAATTACCAATAAAAACAAATAAACTAAAACATATCTGTTATATATAATATGACGATATAAAACTGACGAGGACAAAAAAGGATAGCGAAACTGGTGCCAAATTAAAATTATTCGTGCCTTTCAATCCCAAGAAATAGTTTTGTCTTTTTCAAAGGCTTGAATTAAACATTTTGGATTAATCTCATTAATCTCAGCTCACTCTCATCTTATTTTTTATATGCTTTACTTGAACACTACTGTTATAATCTCATAGTAAAGTTATGAAGCATATTCAAATTTTATTTGAACTTAAGACGAAACCATTTTCTTCCGCACATTTATAATAATAAACAAAAGAAATGCACTTGCCAAACTAATAAACAAAGGAATAAATAACATCGATGAAATGAGGGAATAATGAAGAAATAAAAGAAAAATAAAAGTGTCAGTTTGTTCAAATAAAGACATAATATTACTGAAACTTCAAAAATATTCTCAAATTAAATTTTATCATTTGTGCCAAAGTATCGAGAGGTTTTCTTTCTTTTAAATTATTTCTCGCAGAATAATTATTGCGCAGATTTCACATTGAAAAATGATATAAGCCATTCTTTTCTCAACCACCATTCATTTTAAGCTCAAAGTGATGAAAAAAAAAGTTAAAGATGTGAATGATAATGGAGTACCTGTCGTGCAGAAGCAGTTGTAGTGGTAGTAGTTATAGATGGTTGTTCTTGTTGAAACTTTTTATTACTGACATTCAATGAATTAGGTTTATCCGGTGTCTGAAAACGTGTTTCTTCCGCTGCTCGGATTAGTGACGCAACGATGCCGTGTACCGATTTACTGCTTCCTTCAATGTTTTCACTTGAATCTCTACTTAAAGATACTGGAGTTGCAACTAAAGTTGCCGCTTTATCAACTGGTTGTTGAACAGCTGTTAACGACGAATTTGAAGAGGTGCTATTATTCACTTCTTTGGTGTCATCAACAATATCATCAGATGTTTCCAATTTCTGTGAACGACATTGAGCCTAAAAATCAGCCATCTTTATAACAGTTTAGAGCAAATTAACTTCTAAAAAAAGCTCTTTCAGAAGAGAATACTTAACATGAGGAAATTTTTAAAAATTATAACGGAAGGATTTATGTATTATATGCTTTATTTTTACTCTATTATTGGACGTGAAATTAGAATTACTAACGTGAAGAATTTCCTTAAATAATGAATATGTTTTGGTCATATGAATGTGATCGATAAAAAAAAATCGAAATAATATTAGACAATTTTCCTGGGATTTCTTCAAGCAATTATAAATCAAAATAGTGTGATGATTGGAGCAGGAAATCAAAAAAAGTTGATTTATGGATTGTATTTCGGGCAGCGCTACTTCAGTCGCTGGTAGTTTGAAAAAAGATAAACAAATAAGTAAGCCAACATAAAGCATGCAAGGTCATAGTTATATAACTTAATAATTAGTAAAACGAAATTAAAATAAACAATACAAGTTAGTGAGTGAGAAATAAATCATCATTTAGCTGATAAATACAAAATAATAAGCTTCGATTATTGCGATGAGGAAAAAATCAGTGAATGTAAGAAAAATGATTCGATCACTGATTAGAAAGAGAAAGAAGAAATTTTAAAAAATGAAGATTAAATGTCACTTCTTGTCATCATTCAAACGTAAAAAGATAATTTTACACTACATGAAAAGGCACTTAAGTGAAAACAAAGGTCACTGAATGACTGGATACTGAAAAGGAAGACCTCAGTTAAATGAAAATGCAGAAAAGTACATTTATCTGCACTCAGCAATGCTTACGGTGATTAGTAATCTCGATATCCATGTTTATATCTCATCTATTGACGAAGTAACGTACAACAGTATGCTTATGAGATGAATCTATTCACTGATGTTAGAAATTAAGCATAAGTAATAATAGTAGCAATGTACCGTTGATGATGGAATAGACGACGGTATTGACGACGTGGATGAAAATATACCGGTCACCGTGAACATCATCTTAGCCACTCATTTAAAAGAGCTGATCATCTTCGCTTGATATTTTTTGATAATTTCTCTTTTTTATCAAATATCAACTTCCTTGGTTCAAGTTCATTATTTTGATCACTGTAAAACTACTAAATCTCAGTAGTGCGTATAGTACTGCAGCATACTTAATAATAACATAAAATATAGCATGATAATAAAGAAGCAAATGAAAATAAATTTGTAATCAGAAAAAGTTCAGGGGTTAGGAAATTGGAGATAATGAAGTAATCACCTAACTTCCTTTTTACAATGAATTCTTTTCTTCTCAAACAATTAATTCCTTAAAAGGTAGTTAACGGACTGTTGCGCAAAACCTCACAATCAACGAAAAATTAAAACTATGCATTGATCTGAGCGCATGGTTCAATTTACTGGCAACCATTAAAGGAGACAGAAATGATTAGTTTACTGTAGATTCAATGCGAAAGAAAGTTGAGAGGGAGGAGCAAACACATCTTGAAAAGTATCTTTTGTAAATGGAACAGAATGTTCTAATTGAAAGTTGTCAAATTATCTACTGAAATTAAAAAAAGATAAGGGACAGTTGAAAAGACACGGAAAACCATCTCTAAATTCATCACCTATGCAATCTTCTCCCGAGATTCAATTGTAAATGAATATAACATATGTTGATAAAATGGAGAAAATTCGCTGACTAATTTAGTACTGATAAAATCCCACAAAATTGAAATTATGTTAGCTATTATAAAAACCGTTTACATATGAGATAAAGAAAACTTAAGGTTGTATTCCATTGCAAATTATTAATACTAACTCACTTAATCCAAATGGCAGTAAACTCAGAAACTACAATAAACTAACAGAATTTTCCATACACAAACGGATTGACTCATATAAACGATTTATTGCACTTCCGGCCGCAAAACTTTAAAGTGTCAAATCATTTCATCTCTTTCTCTGATGACAATTTATCGTTTGAAAGTGAATATGAAATATGCACATATATGCATTTCGTTTGTAGATAAAGAAATACCGCTATTAATAAATTTGTCAATTTCCGAGTGTTATATTTAAAAGTGATGTGTATGGATCACAGGACATGATTTGGCAAATGTAATAGAGAAATTAACTCAGTTAATGGTAAAGTTGGATGAGATTACAAAGTGGAAATATACAAGTGTTAGTCGTGACAACTATTAAACAAGAATGACATGTGACAAGAACTTGCCAGAAAGAGTAGCAATGCTGGTGACTGTCAACCCATTCATGTAATGCATACCTGTTATATCGATACGTATTACACACAACCGATGCATGATAATCTCTGCTCATTAATTGGGATTTAGGTTTACATTAATCTATTAAATTTCTCATCAAGACAAGAGCGCAGGAAACAGGGTAGAATAAAAATGAACTTTTGGCAACAAAAGTTTTGAAATTGACAGAATAGAAAAAATCGTCAAACAACAATACAAATTTCCTACAGCTCGAATAATATTTTGAAAAAAATAAAGTCAATTCTCCGTCACTAGCATCGATTCTATACCTTTTATCGGCTTTATAAATAACAAAGTAATATGTCTTCAATCTTTTAGGTATTTTCTATCCGATTTTGAAATAATCTCTCATTATTGTCTCTCCCGAGAATCAAACGATCAGATGTTCATGTTCATAACATATGCTACTCAATTACATTCCTTCTAATTTTTGTAGCATACAAAAGATTGTTGTCTAGCGATTTGAAATTAACAAAGAAAATGAAATACACGCCCTTCAAAAGACTACTTGAATGATTAATAAATAGTGAGACGTAAATAATAAAAGAGGAGAAGTGGAAAGGATAATGAAGGATAGATAAACAACACACATACACATACAAACATACATACGCATATACATACATCCACAAATGCATACATACATACATACACACAGACACATACACACATACATACGTAGATAAGTAAACAATGAAGTGCCACCAGTTGAAGAGTCTCGGAAGTAGTACCCTCTATCTTGTCATCTCATATCAGAACACGATTGAGCAGCACACTGACAGTGGTCGAGTGGATGCTGGAGATGGACGAATGGATGACCGATTACTTAAGTGACAATACTTTTAGTGCTTGAAAGCGAGACGCAGCTGCTTGAAAGTCTATCGATAACAAATGCTTTAAGCATTTCTCACAAGTTGCAATGTCTACTTTATGGTGACAATGAAGTGAGACAGTAAATTCTCTTCTTAATAACGGTCAACCTAAAAGCTATGAGAATGATAAATGAAATGAAATTCCATAAGAATTTACTCGTCAAAGTCCTTCCACTTTTCTCAAACTGAATTCAGACTTGTTTCAACACTGCTAACATTAACAATTCTACCATTTAGCGGCCATTTTATATTCCTTGAAAATTCATCTTGTGAAAAGAGCAAGCTAAGAAGTCGAAAGATTGAAAGTTTAGAAAGATTTGTCTCCTCTGCTAAAATAATTATAAATAAAAAAATCAGCGAACTGTAAAAAAATCGAAAACTTCGTTAAATGAATAGGAGAAAAAAGAAATTCATTCCCATGTTTTTTTAAAAGTTAAAAGGATTAGTGAAAAAAAAAAGTAGAATTTAAACTTGGGAAAAATTTACGAAATTATTGATCCCAAAACCTCTTTTACAACCTTTTGATTTGGAAATTAAGATGGATTTTTAATTTCGAGGAATAAAGCCTATGTCTCCGATTTTCCGATTTTTGAGTGCGAATAATCTACAGCAAGAGTGTTTAAAATTAAACACTCTACCAGTTCTGGTCGATTTCCAAAAGGAAGTACCGAATGAAATTAAAGTAGCAATTAAATGGAAAAAATGTATGAATGGAGATAAACAAATTTAACTTTACCACCGATTTAATTCCTATGCTTTTATTATTTATCACAAGAAATACACCATAGCTAAAAGATATAAAAGAAAAATAGTATTTCAAATGAATGCAACATCGATTTATAGTTTTTTTTTTTTTTTTTCTTTTAACTCCAATTTTTTTTCTCATTTAAACAAAAATTATCGGACAATGAATGTGAATTCAATAGAGATCATAAATGACTTCATTTGAATGCAAAATAAATAGAATTGTGAAATTTAAAGAGTGTAAGGAAAAGGAAGAACAGAATGTCATCCTTTATATCAACAAAACAAACAGATTCCCCGAAGGGGACCATTCTGGTGGTGGATAATGTTAAAAAAAAAAAAAAAAAAAAACAATCACTCTCTTCTTCTTCATCATTCTCTTCCTATTTCAATCTTGTTTTAAAAAAGGGAAGGGACGAATGTTTGTTATTACATAAAGTGATCAATTGTAAAGCTTTTTTCATTCCATTTTTCGTCGAAGATCGGAAGAAGAAAGTTCACTCGACAAATTCCTTTTTTATTCATTTGGTTTATTTCCAAATTTTCACTGTACCTATTATTTTCATATTTTTAAATTCAAAAAAAAAAAAAAATCATTTTGATGTGAGTCATTTTTGCCTTCTTTTTTTCGATCTTTTCTTGAGAAGACAGTTTGAGAAAATTGGAAAGAAAAATGGTAAAATTAACGATAACAGGAAAAATTCAATAACAATCAGTTATTTAGAAGTGGCTTATAAATACAAAAAAATTATTTGCTTCCTCATTTTTTACACTGATTTAAACTCTAAATAAAGATGTTCTGAGATCGAGGAAGAATTTCATCTGAACTGAAAGAAACGTTGGAATATAAATGCCTTCCTCATATATTCCTGAAGCTCTCAGAAACGAATGTTATACGTGATGGAAAGTACCGGAAGCAGTGTATTTGATATAGATTAATTACTAACAAAATTAAAATTGGCCGTCGATTCATGACATGAATGGTCTAGTGGTAATAGTAACATGATAAACATGTGACAAACAATACAGGGGAGGTGGAAAGGAGGTCCTTGCCTGCTGTTAAGCAACAACACCTTATGATAGCAGCAACTGCTAACTTTAGTTGCAGAGGAGAGACGTCATGTCTTAGTGTCCATTTAATAGGAAGAGTCTCTCTCTTTATGAAAATTACAAATAGCACAAATAATTAAATTGAACATATGCTGACTGCATAAATAAACTACAGCAAAATATTCAAGGTCACTTTTGAGAAGTGGAATGGAGCGATATGCAAATTACTTCATAGCTTAATTAATTCTAACTGTAGCAAGCTAATAAAATGCTTCATTATACTCTTAATGGAATGGTAAATTTAACAACGTCTGAATTAAAGGAACTGTTAAAGAAAACAAAGATTTGTCACTCTGTGAAAGAACACAATAATGACTCATTACTCAACTTTCTTTCTTGAAATCATAGCAACATTCACATTTCAAAACAGATTATGTTGCAGTCGCTCGTCTAAAATCATCTTTAGTAATGCATTTTGCACAAACTTCATAAAAGTACAGACCGATAATTGTCGTAAGAAAAAAAAATAATAAAAAATACATATTAAAAAACATCGAGATTAATTCATCTGCTCTAAACTTTTAAAATATGTTGCATTAGACCTTAAGCTGGGCTAAAGTTCATTGATGTTTAATCCCGAAAAAGCTCGGAGCAAATTAGAAATAATTACAGGGATGGAAATGAATTCTCGAGAATCTTGATAATAATCTGATGATGAAATCTTATGATTCACCTTTCAGTAAAATTCACTTTATTACACTAAGGAAGAGAGAGTAAGGCAGCACTGATAAGGAAAGAAAATAGCATTGAACAGAATTAACTAGAGAATTCGAGAAAAGTATCGTAGTAAGATCGAGTATTTTGAAAGCTTTAAGAAACCTTAAGAAATTTAATACTATCTGGAGAAGTATTCTGAAAGTAGTTCGACCTGGAATTAATGAGGTGCAAAAATTCATGTATAATGTATTGAGGGAAAAAAAAGGATAGCATAGAAGAGAAGCCATGACATGAAATTGAGTGGCTGTGACAACTCTACATGTCAAAATGACATTTAATTGCCATTAAAAACAACCAAAAAAAAAAAAACAGTGTCAAACAAAAAGCCCAAACTTCCAATAACAGAAATAAATTGAACTTCTAAACCTTCTTCCACTACAACAGACAACAAAATACCATCAGAAAAATACCAAAAAATGGCCATGATGTCATCGACCTTTACACAGCTTTCTACAGTATTAGCTTGGAAAAGTTTATGTACATATATGTACATGCATGAAACTGGAAGATCTGAATCCATATCCATAAAGATAATGATGAAGAAAAAGAGCAGAAAATTTATAGCGAAACAATGAGAGATTGAAGGAACGGTGGAACGAGAAACTTAGAGTTTTGCTTGCTTTGGAACTACTCCAGATAGACTTTATAATCTCGATAAGCATGGATTAACTTGTAATGAACACTGTCTGAAGTGACTACTTTGAGAAGAAGCAAATGCGAATGATTGTTACTCCGTATTATCATCTCTTTCAGAAATCAATTACTGCCACAGGTACGAATTAACTAACTGATAAAAAAGCAAAAAAATTGCAGAATTCTTCCTTTCCTTTCCACTTAATGAGACAGAAGTCTACTGCTTTACATGGAACTGTCTTACCATTTGCAACAAAAGTTCTGTCTTGTTTTCTACACAATTAATTCTTATCTGTGATGAAATTAAAATAATCATTTTAAATGACTAGAAAGGATCAAGAAGATTCAACAAGTAGTATAAGTTGATAGAGTAGAAACGAACAATTCGTAAGAGGAAAGATTATTTGTGATGTATCTGTCATTTTTTACAGCAAATATATCTAGTCTTATTTCGAAAGCTAATATCATTTCTGCAGTTAAAGTTCTTGTTAATGTAAAAAAACGAACGATTTAATTGAAAGAAGTCATTGATGAAAATTTGGACGGAATAGCTATATAGCATTTTTGGTTTATTAGATAGTTTAGTAACACAAAAGAAACTTTTTTGATAAATTTGTGGAGCACTGGGGACAAGTTTGTTTGCAGAATATGTATACACCTCGAAACTATTAAGCCAGAAATAAACATCGACAGTGTAAGTCTAGCAATTAATAAAGATCATACAGCATAAAAATCTTAATAAAGATTCTAAATACATTTTATTTTAAATTGTAATTCTATTCCTAAACATAACTTTATGAAATTCCACATTGTAGTTTCAAGCCACCACTTAGAATCAAAAAATAGTACGTACTGAAATTATTAACAAATAATGATAAGAAGCAACGACATACTTTAACCAAATGCAGACGGAAAAATTTTTGTTAATCTTAAGCTATAAGTTTGGAAATCGAATCCACCCGACGGCGTTAATAAACAGCTGTCTCATTATTTGACTATGAATCGCTTAAAATTTTTGGATGTGTAAGAATTTTAAAGTGAAATGAACAAATCTCCTATTGGAAATAAACATTAAGATGGGCACATAATAAAATAGAAACAGATGTTGTAACCTGAAATAGCAGCATAGACTAATTTCTCAGCAAAACTCTTTCTCGTTCTTTGAAAAGTCCATGAAATTCATTAGGCATATAATTTAACAAACATATACTTTCACTGAGCTATTACTTATTATTCATGTATAAAAGTGGACAATGCTATTATGCTATGACCATTACTAGCAAATAGTTATGAGAGTTAGTATGGTAACAAGTGAATTAATTAAAATGCAGCATTAAGCTGTTGTCAATTGCAAATATGAGTGTAATACGTAACAGTAACACAGCATATCAACGACTATTTCAGTAACAAAAATAGGAAGAAATGATTCGAATTGGGTAATTGGGTAAGATTAATGAAATATCAGAAATAATTTATCATTGTTGAAATTTAAACTGTCCCATTTCTGCAGAGATCAAAATTATTGGTCTCCCTTTCTCTCCCCCTTCCTTTTCTTAACGATAATAAAAGTTATACTATCATATCCTACTGTGTGTTTCAATTATCCTATCATATTTTAACATTTTCCTTCATAATTAATTAGGTCTTTCTTCTTCGTATGCCTAAGTTCTTTCCATTCCATTACAAAACTTAAAAATTTAAAACACCTTTGTTATAAAATTAGCTTTCTCAAGCGAGTAACCTGCAGTGCGAACAGTAAAGTCAAGTTTTACTCCTAATGTTAGCTTTTTTTTTTTTTTTGTTTAAACATTTTCTACCGATATGAAATTTTAACTTGCAGTTAATTACTTTGCAATAAGACCTTTTTAATAATTCCATTAATTAGTTTAGTTCAATGAACAAACATTTTAGTTTTGCCTACCAAAAGAGACTTACAATGATTTCTATTATTTCTACCTGTCACACAATCTATGAATCGATAAGTAAAACTGATAAGAAAAGCAAATTCTCTTGATGTTTAAGAGAAAACAATCCATTTCACAATGATCTTTTCCGTTCCCTATGTTATTAGGACATTTTTCACCGCCATATCTTTGTACTGCATCACTTCTTCAGTTTATTACTATCTGTTAAAAATAGTCAAGAATAGTAAGGGACAATAGAAAAAGATTTTAGTACAAATTAAATAATATTTTACAAATTAGAAGAGTAAAGAAAAATAAATGTGAAACAAAGAAGCAAAAATAAATGTGAAGTTGTTGCATGGTGACAGGTAGTACAGAGAATGGTCATTATAGCAGTGATGACCTTTAACTTCCTCAACAAAAGCACTAGATAGCCTAAATTAATGGGAGACTAGAAATTGTCCAGCAACAAAAACCTTTCGAGCTTATCACTCCAAACATATTTGGAGAGAATCTGTTACAGCAAATAACAAAATACAATACTGACCTTCCACTAATAAATTGAAAGCTTGCAAAAACTGCTTATGCTCATAAAATTGCTCCTTGATGAAAGCCAAGCTCGAAAAAAGATCAAGAATTGTTGCTCATATGCGGTCAGTACTCTCGACTAATCATTTTCACACTTAATTATTGGTACAAACATTGCGGAATGCGCAATCCGGAAGCGCCACAACCTAGCTATGTTAGATTTTAACTCGCATCCTTCTGATATCGAATAGGAAATGAAGAAACTTGTACTTCTCACATCAATCAGTTATTTTCATCTCTTCCATTTTTTCGAACTCTTTGATTTTCAAATTTCGAACAAATTTTGATTATTTTCCAACGAATATTCAAACATTGCACAATGCATAATGCATAATTAAACCCATGAATTTTTTTAATTGCTCACCTTTCATCGAATGACCCCTGACTGTCACCTAACACTCTTTCTTCCTTCTTAACTCTCTTCTCCCTCTACTATTCCAACATAATTCTTTATTCAAGAAAAAAAGCTGCACTTACTGCACATTTTTAAATCAATAATGAATGGTACGTGAAAATTTTTGTCTTAAGTTACCATAGAGTGTAGTTCAGACATTAAAATAAAATAAATTTAAGGAAGCAATAAGTTAGAATCATTTTCATACCAATAAATAATATCTCGCCACTGCTTATTACTGAATAAAATAATCCAAGGAATAGAAGCTGGCTTTTTACGGAAATGAAAAATGAAGCAGAAACTGCTATTACAAAAGAGAAAAGAGTAGATGCTGTTGAAAGATCGTTTGAAAATATTTGTGAAAACTGAATGATAGGAATGCAAGTTTACTTCATTTCAATAAGCATTAATGATTAGTTATGGTAATAAAAGTCTTGTTGTTGGAAGAATGGAAAAAAGCTTGCTCATCTTTTCTTATTCTATCTCCAAGTGTCAAAGATAAAATACGATTATATTTGAGAACAAGACGCCACACACACATGCACACATAACTAACCCTTTGTTTCCAAATGGCAACCGGAGATTGTGCTTCATCAAGTAGTTCAATCCGCTTTGCTTCACCCAAGAATTTCAATCTGTCGTCAGTACTACTCTCTTTTGTCAAATCGATACTTTCCATCGAGAAACATGTACGGCTACCGATACTTGCATCATTATTAATCTAAATTTCAAATTTTAACTAAAAAATGGAGAACAAAAACGAATAATGAAATAAAAATCAATATCAATCATATGGACCAAATATTATTTGCAGAAGAAATTTGTCTTAAAAAGAAAAAACAACTGATAAGAATACATAATAGTGTGATAGTAAAAAATTTTCGAGTTACTGAATACAAGTTCAATCTAAATTCTCTTTGATTATTCGGGTGTTGCAATTGTGACAAGTTAGTATTACCTGTCATCTCAACCCTAGTGCTACCTTATTCTAAGATAAACTCATTAATTGTCATTTGTTACAACAGCGAATTTTTAAAATGAAAGAGCCTATGGCAACACATAAAACCAAAAAAACCTACTTTCACATTAGCGTCATAAATACTGCTTCTCCACTGCACATCATTTAAAATTGTATAATCAAGCAGTTTTCCCTGAGCCGAATTAGACATTCGTAGGAAGCGTTGATATGGTTTTACATCCAGAGCTAAAGCTAAATTAGTTCTGGATACCGGTAAGCCACCATTTGATTCGACTTTATCATTTCTCCACTTTGGTTGTAAGTTACATTCAGGAAGATGATTTTTGTCATTTGTGATTACTGGTGAATTTTCCATGCCAGATAACGAAACTTCGATATCAGAAACAATGCCGATCGTTGGAATACCCTTCTGATACCATTTTAGATATTTTTTGAAAGATTGATATTTTTTACGTGACAAGAAACGCCATAAAGGTGACGATTCATAGCTACCACTTCCACTTTTAAGACTGGCATGACTTTGCGAATTTTCGTTATTATTGCTGCTGAATTTTGATGATAAAAAATGGAGCTTCTCTGATCTTTCCGGATTTTTCGGTGCGCTGATAACAACTGCATGTGCTGACTGCTTGTGACGACTCGATGGTTGCGCTGTTAGTACTATATGTGCTGTACAGGAAGCTTCAGGAATGTCCGCTGACTGACGCCAGATATCCTGAAAAGTGGTTGTACTCACGAAGTTATGGTCATAGAGTTCATTGCATCCTAATGTGGTGATAGCCTGAAAGAATAGCTTTCACTTTAGACATAAAAATGACGTAACCTCAAATTATTGTGATATTTCCATCACCCAATTTCTGTCTTAAATTTATTTTCCATCCCATTTCATCCTTTAAAATTTAACATGCACTTGGTAGGAGACTCTATTAAACGAGTGAACTGCGTAAAATTCTCATCATTCTAAAACTTCATATAAATCTGTGGACAAGAAAATTTTCCCTTTGTAAGTGCCTATGTTTTAGACCAAAAATCATAGCTTTCGAAATCGTCTATTTTCAACTTTATGTCATTTTCTAATCCAGTTATGTTTACTGCTCCTTCCACTTTTACATACTAAAAGGATCATAAAGATTTTTGAAGCAAAGTGAGAAATAACAGGCAAATTAAATCTTACAATGTGAAGCAAAATAGGGTAATAAGATTGATTGATAAACTAAAATTTCAGCCTGAACATTCATCTCTGAGCCGACCTTTTAGAGCTAAATCGTGGTGAGATACAGTTCGAACTATAAAAATTTTTTCCCTTTACTTCTATTTGAAAACCTTATGAAAAAAAATTTGCTCCATAAATCACTGATAAAACTAGGAAGACGATACTTTTTTCCAGGAATTTGTCTTCCGAAATTTTATAAAACGACTAGGTTTCAACTCGACTTTCTGCGTGCGATGACAATTTTGTGGTTTGTTATTATGAGACTGCGCTGATAATGTTGAATCGATTATACTCATTTCAAATGAAATATCTGAGTTATTCTCTGATGGACACAGAATATTTGGCTGAAATTGCAATTTCAAATACATGAAAGTGAATAAAATTTAAATGAAAAGAAAAAGAACTCATTCCTCTTCTTTTTCATAAAAAGGTTTCTTTCAATAATAACAAAGTGATAACTTTACTTATCAATTATAATTTGGTGTGAAAATAATTTTAGCAACTTTTCAAATTATTTTTAGAGAATGCATTAACCATGAAATAGTTGAAATATTTACTTTTAAAGTACCGCATTCTGGTTCGTCAGCACATATGATATCAACATCAGTAGTACCAGTAGTAATAATATCAGTAGTGATAGAAGTGGCAGTGCTGATAAAAGGTGATGAGAGCGGAATTGATTGTGCGGTTAAATCAAAACTACTGGATGGTAATGAGTCTATTTCGGCAAGAATTTGTGATGTCCACCTGAGAAAAATAAACTTATATTAACCATAAGCATTCAAATTAATAAATGTTTTGAAGAAAGTAATGAAAACAGAATTAAAATAGAATTTAAATTGGTTCCTTTACTTTCGAAACTGAAAAAGAAAAATAGGATGGATTAAAGCAAATCTTTCAGATTTCTTCAAAATCAGTTTCTGTAGCAAAGGACGAAAAATTTTTTGCGAAATTTATTATACCATAGCAGGTTGCTGTGATATAATAAAATCTTTTAAGAAATTATCTGCTGATTACTGCTATCAGAATAAAATATATCAGAATGAATAATTGTGACTAATTTTGAATGAAGGGAACGGAGGAGAGAATGTGGAAAACCAGAAATATTTCATGTCTAAATTCGTGCTGAGATAAATTATAAATATCCAATTGTGAAATTCTCCGCCACATTTTCAATGGAGCGCAAAAGAGGTAAAATAGGAAGAATCAACAAGTTAGAATTAGTGAATTATTTCAAAACTTCTTCTCTATTCATTGAACAGTAAACAAATGCTATGTATTAATTTGTTTGCTAAGATGTTATAAGTTACTTAAAGCTAACAAAAACAAAATTAGTCAAAATCCAACAATGATTACATGGTCGCTTAGAACTTATGTTAATGTTAGTATAACCGCATTTTATTAAAATGAAAGCCATCATAAAGTCGTAAAAATTGAGAATGAAGAAGTGAGAGCTAAAATTTGCACGTGAATTATAAGAAAATAACCTGGTAACAGAATCCTGATTAGTAAAATCGATCATCGTTCCGTTCAACTCCCGGACAGATATCGAACGTCGAACAAACGTAGCTTTTCCCGACTGTGTATTATTCAATCTGGATAAGATCAATTAGAAGAATAGCTAGGATCTAAATTAAGAGGATCTAAAATTACTGCATGCTAATTTTCAATTTGTAGTACTGCTGCACGTACCTTGTTTGTGATCCTCCTTTCGTTTCCAGCTCATTATTGGTGAATGAATTCAATTTATATCTAAGTGTACGACGACGAGCTTTTCGAGCTGCTGGTCCTTGGATTTCATATTAATTATTACAGTTACAATTAATATATTATCTACCTCTTTCTATTATGTCGTCTTGAATCTTATTTAGTAACCATTAGGTAATGAATATTTCTATTAATATAAATTCATAGGCTCACAAGAGGAAAAGTGGTAATATTTCTAAGCCTCAAAAGATACATAACGCTCTGATATCATATCATCGATTGACAACAAATATTTAATAGTATGTATCATCAAAATAATTCCCCTAGAAGAAAGGGTAGAAGAAACATTCGCAGCAGTAAGGAACCTTTAAATTTCTGTAAAGTGTCAACAGGTTCGTTAGATGCCAATAGCCGTGTCGAAGTTGATTTGCAGCAAGTTTCTGCTATCGACCGAGTAATCAAACTGGAATTAACATAATTTCGCTTCAATGAAAGAAACGCTGCTTCCGCTGGCGTTATTGCACCGCATGCAGCTGTCGATTGACCTCTCTTCTTCCTTGTCGTCAACTGAGTCTGTAAAATTGCTCCAGTTCTACAAATTCTTAGAAATTTCGCACATTTCTGCTGCAAAGTCAATGCTAGTAATAACCATATAATATAATTCACTATTTCACCAACGATTACTTCAGAAAGTCTGTAGTCTGTCAAGGAATGTTATGCCATTCATTACTAGTGTGAACGTAAGGCTAAGCAAAAAATCGCATCAGTGTATGAACAAACTTTGCACATTGAAAAAAGGAAAATACGTCGACATTTATTGAACATTCAGAATAGTGGGAGAATGAAATTAGGCCTTATTTCGTGAATTGTCATCGCTGCAAGTATTGTCCCTTTCTGACTATTTCACTTCCGATTACTCATCTTAGTGTCACAATACAATACTCACCGATCGCTTTCTTCGTTCGATGATGATGCTGCCGTTATCGCTGCTATTTGTTGTAGATTCTGACCTGTGCACTTTATTTAAAGCTGAGGTTGACTTCCATGTACGCTCTCCAGAAATTCCACCAGTTAAATTACGTCGCTGATGACGTGTAAAACGCTTACGACGTGATGACATGTAATATTCTGCATTTGCTGCAATGTTTACTTTTCATCGAAAATTCCAGGTTTTTTCCCTTTTTTCTTATGAAATCTTTTCTGGAATTTTCTCTTCCAATTTTTCAGGACACTTGCTTACCTTTTACTCTGAAATCAATTAAAGTTTTCTTTTAGGATCTTTTTGTTAGAAATTCTAAAAGATTTTAAACTTCAATTCAGCTTTAAATTTGAATTCGAGTCGTTAATATATTAAACATTACAAGAGTATTACACCAATTTACAAATAAATAAGCACTGTAACCCCTTCTTATCTCACGAAATAGCTAACAACTTGCAACACTTCATGTTCTTTATATTCCATTATCTTATGAAAACTCGAAAAGTTTTTCCTTACAAATTGAATTTATTTCAAAAGTATTAACTTTCGAAAATACTGACTTACCCGATTGGTCATCATCTGATGAGAATGACTGTGGAAATTTTCTTATGTCATGTTGAGATACGAATGCAGAAGGAAAAGAATTCTTTCGGTAAGTAGAAGATGAATGAATATCTGATGATGGTTGACGCTGTCTACAAACACATACGTCATACACGTGAAAAAAATTAACTGCACACACGGACATAAGAAAATATCACCAACTTTTCAACTGGATTTTTTAATGGAGCTAGAAATATTTCTCGTTATCACGCTTCAATTCTGCTTTTGGAAGGGAATTTCATTTTTTTTTTTGTTGGAGAAATTTAGAAGTTCCCATAATTCAATTACGTGCTGCAAATGGCGGAAATGTCTTCGAAATTAAATCTATTGGTTCTTTTATTACATATTTACAATTTCTAGTCATTATTTCACAGTATGTATTTCGTATCAGACGTTGATTTGAAGTAGTGGAAGTAACTGTAAACAAAATATAGAACTGATTACTCATAGCTAATATTTGATTAATAAAGCGCAGTACATTTCCGCCTGACCTCAGTTAGCACTAACGGTGAATATCTTCTTTCTTTTGTGATTAACAAATATTCTGGTTTTGTAACCTTAATATGAAATGAGTTTCTCTCCTCCTTCCTCTTGTCCCGCTTGCTCGTTCACCCGTACATTCCCAACCAAACGAGAATCAATTTGGGTCTCTTCAATGAGTACCACAATAATCACTGTGGAAGAATGAGAGACAGCTTATAGAAAGTAAGAAATTGATTGCATATTCAAGTACACAATATAAAGTTTTCTATGAGTTTTAATTATTTTTAGATTCAAATAGAATATCCAAATTGGGAGCAATATGCTTAAAAAAGCTTTCAAATTTTCTATACATTGGATAATTTTTTTTAGAAAAATAGAACTGTTTCCTTGGGAAAATCAATCACTTAAAATTTTAACTTGTTCTAAAAAACATAAATAACATAAATTAACAAAAATTCGATTAATTTCACACGCATCAAGAATTCGAAAGCCTTTAATATGAAAAATCTTTGGCGTAAGAGTTTTACAAATCCTAATCAAATTTCTTGAAGTCTGAAAGTATTTTTTAAGTCAGCAACGAGGCAAATAGATAATAGATAGGAAGTAATACACGAAATGGAGGAGAAGAGCGTAAATTAGATAAAGTCTCTTAAAAGCACACAGAAAAATGGCAACCAAGTTACTTCTTGACTTAATCTATTTTCTTGTTGGTACCGTGGTATTTGCTAAGCAGACAAGACTACCTTCTATGATTCCAACATCTGTTTCAGAAGCAATCCTGAATTTACTCCTGCAGCATTTTGTGCAACACGAATTCTTTTAAAAAGCTTTTCTATAGTTGAAACTATTTAAACATATTTGTTCCAATGAATCTGATTTAAAAAAAAGAAAACCAAACCGTCTCAGAAATTTATTCTGTCCGTCGTCGTTTTTAATGGTTACTGAAGCAAGTTCATGAAGACTTCGTGATATGGCATCCTGAAAATAAATTGATTTTTAATTTGAATTGCTAGAGCTTAAGAACGAAAGAAGTGATGTCACCAGATGACGAAAAGGAAAGAATAAATCGTTATCAGTTTATTTCAAAGATTCTATTGTTTAAAAATAAGTGGTAGTTTTTCTAAAAAGTAAAAAAAACTGGACTTTCTTTTTTAAATTAAATTAAGTGAGAATGTCAATCTTGAAATTTCTAAATAGATATTGGATGAACAAAACTAAAATTTAATTTAAATTGATTAATCACTCTTTCAGAAAAATGTTTTTCTTGATGTCTCATAACTTCAATGTGAAATTTGTGAATATGTAAAAGATGATTGCATATATATTGTAGAAAATGAAAAAGGTTCAAAGGATTACTTCAACTAATTCTGTATGATCTTTTTCTCAGGCAAATAGAAATGTCAGCGTTACAACGACTCACGTGAAATATGCAAATATAAGGGTGAAGGATGGTCAGTAAGAGATGGCAATTTCCTTTTTCACTAGCAACAGTTGAGAGAATATTTTGTTAGATGTTAATAAGAAGGAGAAGGAAAGAAATAGAAGAGAAGAGAAGAGAAATATAAGGATATTTTAGACAGTGAACAACAAAAAGCTTATTTGCATGTAAAAGACATGCAGTTCATTTATTTGACATGCAGCTACTGCAACTGCTTTCGATAACATGCAGATTTAGACAGACGACTGCACGACCAAGAATTACTTATCAGTTGGAATTGAAATGGAAGAGAGTGGCGCAAATAATACTAAGAAAGTTTTGCAATGCTTAGGCATATCATTAAGTTTGTGATCATAAGGCGGTACTGTGTGTATGGTTGACACTTTCATGAGGAATGGCATTTTACTAAGTGGAAATTATTATAAATGATATTATGTATTCATGATGATTTGTGAACTACAATGATGAAATGAGATCAGATCAAGAGCGCTTCATGCAGAAAGAAAATCCTAAATTAAATTAACTTGTTTGGTTATATTAATTATTGCTTTTTGCAAATGAAGAAAAAACGATAGTAAATTTTTTAGCTGATGCCTTTAGCTGTTGATGACAAAATTTCCAATATCAACTTGAAAATTTAGAAGACAAATCATGAACTTAAGTTTCTCATTGGCTAGGAAAATTGTCTAATTAATACTGATGAGAATATAGTTTCCTCAAAGATTCAATTGCATTAAGAGAAATATTTTCAAATATATTTTCCAAGATAATGTCAAGGAGTTCGATTATCCCGAATAAGTTATCCCTAACCAATGTCGAGATACTGCAGCGTGTGGTAATCAGTTTATGTAATGATTTGATCTTATGAGCAGAATGAACAGTGAAAAAAAGTGAGGTCCAACTCTATTTCAACTTTATCTTCGAATAAATGAAAAAAGGAAATTAATAGTTGGCTTAATTATATTAGTTTTTGAAATGATTTATTATTTTAAAGTTAACAACCATTTCGTTTAAAAAAACTTCCTTGCAAACCGTTAGAAACAGCCAGAAAATGTATCAAAAACAGTTTTCAATTACAAAAACAATCAGCCAAATTTCTCAGACTGGTTAATTTAGACGGTTTTAAATTTTAAAGCATTTGAACTTAAGTGATAATATTCTTCTCTTACATAACCCATAATTTATAATTGTGATCAGTGTGATTAATTAAAGGATCTTCAGATCCGTTAATCACCAATTGCTAAGAGGGTTTTCTGGAGCTCAACCATGACATTCAGGAAATTTAAAGAAGAGGATCCGATTCTGTAGCTATGTTCAGATTAGATTGTGCCAATTCATAGTCAAATCGTTATGTGACCGTATCACTCAGCAGATAGATAGATCTAATAACCCTTTATTATTTGATTATGTGAGACCTCTCGTCGGCTCCGGAACTTGTAGGAAACGAAATGGTAAATGCATCACAATGATATGGATGGAAATTAATTAAATAATTATGCAAATATGACTGCTTCTGCACTTGACTACAAACATATACACATATATACACGTATACACATGCACACGTACACGTATACACATGCACACGTACACGTATACACATGCACACGTACACGTATACAGACCCACAGACGCAAACACGTACAGAGAATTTAGAGTGGATCAGCACTGAGAGCGACGCTGGCAGAGTTTGTTCATTTCTGTGCATTATCACTCATTTCACACCTCCGTCTCTCCCTCTCCTCCTCCTCTCCCTCTCCTCCTCCTCTCCCTCTCCTCCTCCTCTCCCTCTCCTCCTCCTCTCCTTCTCCTCCTCCTCTCCCTCTCTCTCCCTCTTTCTCTTCCTTTTGTATTCGTCAATGCACAATAACAGCTAATCGTTTCCTCTAATTTTTCAAATTTCGGTGGAAAATGGACAGTTTGAAGCGATACAATATGCATTGCAGATTCATTCCTATCATAATAGAATGAATAATAGGAGGAAGTGGATGAGAGGGAGAGAGAGAGAGAGAGAGAGAGAAAGAGAGAGAGAGAGAGGATTTGTTTAGTTTACATTGAACGTGAACGGATGAGAGTGTATGGGTACCACTTACCTGTGCTTTCTGCAGGTAGCAATCAGCCTCCCAGAATGGACTGCCTCTTTCTTCATATTTCATAGCCATACAATTGGTTTGTTAATACTTTGTCTGCAAATTCTGTGAATGAAAAACTTAAATATGAAATGACAAAGTTGATAATTTAGTTGAAGTTAGGTAGTTAAAACTTTTAGATTGGTCATAGACATTTTTTGTTAAGGAATGTAACTTAAGTCCAATATATTTTTGGTAAAATCGAAAAAACAATGCTTTAAACGAAGAGCAAAAGCTTATTTGTGCTCTTTTTAAAGTTACATTCAAAACTATCGCAAACTTACCCGAGGATAGTTCCCTCTGGAATCAAATATGGATTCAAACATGTGATATTAATTACAATTGACATTTTCATTTAATAATCCCAATGAAGTTATAATCAATAAAAAGTAGAAGAGTGAACTGCTTAGTTTGGTTGTTTAGTAAAGAATAGTACACATTTCACAAAAAAATTTCTCTCCTAATTTACCTTTCTTTCATCCTTTAATCCAATTACTCGTTAGATTCGATAATGAATAAACAAATTATTAAGGAAAAGTTACCTGACTTATTTTAATGAATAATCTTTTCTTGACAGTGATCACTTATTCTTTTCTACTGCTTCTATCAAATTCTTATCATTTCGAATACACTGCAAATGTGGTGGAATGATGATTGAATACATAAACAGAACAAATTAAAACTTTGTGATGCTTAATCGCATAAAAGAAATATTGGAAACTATAAAACTATAGTAGTAGACAATAAACTTCCTTATCAATAGCTTAATATTACTACTAAATGACAAATTAAATTAATATTATTATTATTAAAAAGGAATTAATGCTACTATTAAAATGACAGTAAAATGAAAAGTTATTTGTTTAAATCACCGATAAAGTTACAATTTTCTTTAGGTTCCTTGTAATGCATTGTTAGTTGTTCATTGTTGTTTAGGGGTTTTTACAAAATGATTGCAGATTTAATCTATTATATTCATTTTTTCAATTGAATGACACATTCCATTTTGAAATTTAAAGAATTTAATAAATGCAAATAAACAGATTTTGAAGACTTTCTTTGTAAATGTTTTAAAGATATGAAATAATGAAAATTTGTATTCAACAGGCGAATTCAAAAAATGAAAATTTTATTGTTTGCAAATTTTTTCTTTCGCTAAGATTACTGATAGTTGAGAAATTTCAGAAAAAAGATTAGTCAATCGAAGTTTCTGCTCGGCCTTTCTTATTCACAAATGCTCTAATCACTCATTTCATAACTTTTATTACTTTTTTCAATCATTATAAGATTTTTTTTCCAAAAAAATCATTCATTAGTCTGTTAGTAAATTCTTTTACAGTACTGTGTTTCACTTACAGCGTATGTTGAAGTTTTTTATTGATTTTTCTTTGAGTAATTTGATTACCAGTCTCTTTTCTTTTTGTTATCACTATCCTCTCCTTAAAAATGGCATGAAATTTGATTTTATTCAAACATAAAAGGCAAAGATCAAATAAAAAGGCAGAAAAATTAGCAATTTAATTCAATATAAAACATATTGTAATAAGCAACATTCAATTTGTTATAGAATTATTTGGATTTAATATTTTTGTAAATCGTATATTTCTTCTTTACACTATTTTTACATTTTCCTTTTTAAGCATTTTTTTGAAAGAAAAGTATAAACCAATAAGAAAATAATCTGAACAGAAATTGATATTTTAATAAAATGAGAATGTCGTAGAGACATATCGCAGTTAATGTAACGCTACTAGTGTTATTGACCACAAAAAAAATTATGTAACAGTATGGTTGAATGGAAAAAAGTCGATATAATTCTGGTGTCACATTTCAATATGCTATTGAATTGGATTCATTATAATTCTATCAGTATTAGCAACCGGATTTGACATTTAATATTATTCCGTAATAAACTTTCACAATACATATGCACGACATTTAGATAATGACATTGGAAAAGGGTTCAATTCCTCTTCTAACTATCAATCAACCCATAGTTATGATCGAAATATTCGGTTCTCAAAGCTGTTTGTAAGTTTGAAATAGCATAATATGTTAATGGTAGTAGACTGTTGCGTGTTTCCATCAGACATACCAAGTGCAGAAGTTCAATCACAATCCGCGGTTGATTTACGACAGAACCATTTGGTAGTAGGGATAGAGCTGGTGTTTTTGTAGCACATTAAATAGTAAATCGTTATTTATGATGATTCCATACAATTTCATATAAAAACCATCAAACAGAAATGATATCTTGAATACCCCGGAAAATTCGTGAGATGATAAATACCATGCGGAAACATAGTTAGCTAATATTGTCTAGAATCATAATTAGCTTTCAGTGTCATAATGAGATTTAGCAGCCTTAAAAAATAAGGGTCAACAAATTTTTCTCCTTTAAGATAATCAATAAATTCTATGCTAATCGACTGGACAACTACTAATGATAGATAAACACAATTTTAATTTTTAAAAATTAGAGCAATTCAAAACAGAAAAGTAAAGAAATGAATGAAATAAAACTCTAAATGATAGCAATTTTTTTTATAGCATACCATGAATTCATGTATAATACAAAAACAATAAAATGGCTTTTCTGTATTAAAATAACCCTTTGAAAAACTTTGAAATTCTTTAAAAATTTGTGCTTTCGCCAGCATTCTTAGATATTTTAGAGTTCAGCAGACAATGAACATGCAATGTATGTGCAATAGTAGTAGAAGTGCGGGAAAATATGGTATTTAACGTTGAAAATAAAAAGAAATTAATAGAAGCAGATGCGTCGAGACTGAAAACTGCTCTGTAGAAATGTATGACAGATCAATGAGCCCTTTCCAATTTTTTTCTGTTGCTCTTCTCCCATTAACACTAGTATTCATCGTTCTTATTACTTTCATTTTCTCAAATATGGTTTGTTGGTACGAAAAGTCAACTAATCATCTGATATGCTACCTTCTTATCTTTTCTTCTTTCCTATCAAGAGAAGTATGGATAATCATGTGATAGACATTGGACAGGTATGATCAACTGATTGTGATCACACTTCTACTCAAAGATACTGAATGGATTGAGTTGTATGGTATTAGTTTTTATTGTTATCAAAGTTAATACTGATCACAATTTCTTTTTAACTTTCTAACAATCACCTTCTAACTATTCAGAGGAAGAAATGATCGAGGAAGAATGTTCGATAGAAAGCATTTCGAGTTAGCTACTGCAATGTATTAAAGACTTAATAAATCAGTCTGATAAAAAGAGAGAAATTTGCTTGGGATTTTGCACCACCCTCCGATAATACTTTCTCTCTCAATCCGTAACTCGTTTCTAGGTATGTCCTTTTTTTTATTTCAGACAGTTATCGCGCAAAGAGGAAAATGTGCTTTTTTGCGCCTGAAGGATATATTTATCTGAGGTCCTAAAAAAAAAAAAAAAAAAAACATTGTTAATGATAAAAGATTAGTTATGATAGTTGCACTATTTGCCTTTAAAGTGTGCTTTACAAAATTTGCAACAATGAATGTGAATTTGTGTGCTTGTCAAATGGTTTCAATGCATTAGGTTTATTTATGTGTATGTATATGCAAACGATTATAGCTTTCGTTTCCCTTTGCAGTGCTTCTATTTTATTGTCAGTTAAAATAAATGAAATTTTTCTTTGAAAAAATTCCTTCTAAACTTCTCAAAAAAGTCAGATTTTTCGAGAATAAAACACTACGTAGCAAAAATTGCTGGACCCAATAACTTTTCTTAGCTTTTCGATATTTCACTGTACACAATCTAGCCACCTTACCTCCGATCTTCTTGTATTCCAATGACCTTGAAATCTGCAGAAGAATTTGGTCATGAAGAGATGTACACAAAAGGTTAGAGGATGACAACAAACTCCCCATCAGTACTTTTTATATTATTCAAAGTTTCTTTCTTTGATAGGAAACAAATTCGTTCAAGTTTTTGAATCTTTCAGAATTTGCTATTTATAAACATACAAACAATTTCATTTATTCTGATAATAGCCAATAATTATTCATTCCGTTAGAAATGATAATCAAAAGAATGGATGTAACTTCAGAAAGCAAAACTAATTTTCAATAAAACTAATTCGCTCAATTTCAAAAGTTGAAATCCCGTGTGAAATAGATAAAGTTAGCTAATTTTACTTCTTGTCATCAAAAAAATACTATTAAGTGGAGAACTGGCCATTTCTGCAGTGCTATTTGGAAAGGACAACAATCGGGAATTTGATGACATCATCGAATGATTACAATTATACTGACATTACTTGAAAAATTGTTCAAATATAAATGCAACTCATAAAATCACTTTCTTATAACGATTGAAAGAATTTGAAGAAGAAATTTCAGCAGTATACTAACGGATCATTGCTTTTGTCAAGTGGTTTTTTACTAAATAAATAATTGAATTAACTAACCATTTAACCAAAACTATTTAAGATTGCTTGTATTGAATAACTAATCAAATGCAAATAAATAAGTAATACTCTAGAAAGTTTGTTAACACGTCTGTTTTTGAGATGTATGAACTTTAATAACCAAGCTGATCAAATAACAGTAAAATGATAGTTTATGGATTTAAATTTTCATTAATGAATGAATGGAAAGAATGGAAAAATGACTGCTAAAGATTTAAAAATTAAAGGAAAGCAGACAATCAAATGAGCAGCCAATAAAATATCATCAATCTTATGGCTATTGGTTATGTGTCATCTCAACAAATATATGAAATTTTCAAGGACAAAGCGAACTGTTTCAAATTATCTGCATGATTCTCATCAATTTTATCCGAATCGATCAAATCAATTAACCACTAGAAGGACAAGGAAAAAGATAGGAATATTTAGAGGGATAAATTCAGGAAGAATGGAAAGAAAAGAGATGGTAAATTTTCACTCAAAGTCTCATAATTTAGAATTGTGAATAACGAGATTTTGGATCCAAGCGTCAAATTTTTGTTAAAGTGCAAAATTAGATGCATGGGCCAAGATTAAAATTCAAATGGTTGTTTCTTCTTTTATC